TTTATTTACCTTTTTTTTTTTGCGTGGACCATGAACGCTTGTAATTTGTAAACTTAGCATATTTGTAAAGCATCAAGCCAGAAGGAAAAGAAAAATAACAAATCTCATATTTTTTAGTTATGTTGTTATCAGGTACCTTGAGTCAAAGCCAAGCTGAACTAAACGATCTTTTATCTTGATATTAGAAGTTGAGATTAATCAAGATTGCAGTGGTAAAGTATGTTCAAAATGTGAAGAAAACAAATGTTCAAAATGCGAAACTTAATACAATCATTAGTCATTACAATTTCACTAATAGTAATGCAATACCAAAATTATACTGATGCAATGTTTCAAAAGAATATGTGCAGATGTGTTAGTTGGACAATGTTAAACAAACAATAAAGACTAATTTGAAAAGAAAAAAATGTTTTCATAATTTCAAATTCTTAACATATGAATAATGATGAACCAAAAAACACGCCACAAACTCTGTTTTAATTGAGGACATCATGAAAACTGAGAAAGAAAGAAGAAGAAAGAGTAAACACAAGTGAAATTATGAGTTCAAGATTTTGGAATGGGTATTATGATAGTCTGGAGGGAATGTAAACAAAATAGTAGATCGTCATCATCTAATAAGTCATAACACAAAGGCTTGTAAAAACAGAGCAGAGACCGTACCAACAAACTAACCAGCTCGGTTAGTCTCTTTAACCGGAGTTGCCTCCCACGACGTTTGATGGGATAAAAACACGGTTGTGCACACATAGGGATTTTCTTAACCACAAAAGTCTAGAGGAAAAGCAACAAACAATGTATCTCAAATCCAATCACCCGAAAAGACTTATATAAACACATATTTTCCTAAGCATTAAACCTAACATCACACGTAGCCAAATGTTAACACAAGAAAACAAAAACCAAAGGAAAGAAAAACCAAGCCATCAACATGAGAGATATGAATACACTAATTAAAAAATTTCACACAAACCGGCAGAACTTTTGTTTTTCTGTAAAAAGAGAGGTCTTTTCTTCTATTACCGTTATTGCTCCTCCTGCACTTCCCCTTCCTCCTCTTCTTCATACTCATACCCTTCCTCTTCATCAGCCGTTGCGTCTTGGTACTGTTGATACTCTGAGACCAAATCGTTCATATTACTCTCTGCCTCTGTAAACTCCATCTCGTCCATTCCTTCACCAGTGTACCAATGCAAGAACGCTTTCCTTCTGAACATCGCAGTGAACTGCTCGCTCACACGCCTGAACATCTCCTGGATCGAGGTCGAGTTTCCTATGAAAGTAGATGCCATTTTCAGACCCGTTGGTGGGATGTCACAAACGGTTGATTTCACGTTGTTTGGGATCCATTCGACAAAGTATGATGAGTTCTTGTTCTGAACGTTGATCATCTGTTCATCGACTTCTTTAGTGCTCATTTTGCCTCTGAACATGGCTGAGGCGGTTAAGTACCTGCCGTGGCGAGGATCAGCTGCACACATCATGTTCTTAGCATCCCACATCTGTTGTGTGAGCTCAGGGACGGTTAAGGCTCTGTATTGCTGCGAGCCACGAGATGTGAGCGGTGCAAACCCGACCATGAAGAAGTGGAGACGAGGGAATGGGATTAGGTTCACTGCAAGCTTGCGCAGGTCGGAGTTTAGCTGACCAGGGAAACGGAGGCAGCAAGTAACACCACTCATGGTTGCTGAGATGAGGTGATTCAAGTCTCCAACTAAACACAAGAAACAAACAAGCCCATTAGAAACAGTGAAGCCATAAGGAGTGTATATATATAAAGAAAAGATGCTTACAGCTTGGAGTAGTGAGCTTGAGAGTTCTGAAGCAAATGTCATAGAGAGCTTCGTTGTCAAGAACCATACACTCATCTGCATTCTCCACTAGCTGATGGACTGAGAGAGTTGCATTGTAAGGCTCAACAACAGTGTCAGACACTTTTGGAGATGGGAAGACTGAAAACGTCAGCATCATCCGGTCTGGATACTCTTCCCTGATCTTTGAAATCAGCAAAGTTCCCATTCCAGATCCAGTTCCTCCTCCCAATGAGTGACACACTTGGAATCCTGAAAAAACACATTCACATGAACACCAAATTTTTAAATCACACAAATCTTAACCATGACCATAACTAGTAGCTCTCAGACTATAGTATACAAAGTGAAATTCACAAGAAATCGTTAAATCCAGAGAGAGTCGAATCATCAACAACCAAGACACAAATCAAAACTAGGATGCAGGATCGAAGAAAACGATTCTAACCTTGCAAGCAGTCACAGTTCTCGGCCTCTTTTCGGACAACATCGAGAACAGAATCGATCAGCTCAGCACCTTCCGTGTAGTGTCCTTTCGCCCAGTTATTACCGGCGCCGGACTGACCGAACACGAAGTTATCAGGACGGAAGATTTGTCCGTACGGACCGGATCTGACACTGTCCATAGTCCCGGGCTCCAGATCCATCAGGACGGCGCGTGGGACGAACCTCCCGCAACTCGCTTCGTTGTAGTACACATTGACTCGTTCGAGTTGCAAATCATTCTCACCTTGGTACCTTCCCGTCGAATCGATCTCGTGCTCGGCGCATACTACTTCCCAGAACTTAGCGCCGATCTGGTTCCCACACTGACCACCCTGAATGTGTAGAATCTCACGCATCTTCTTCGATAGCTAAGCTATGTAGGGAACCGAATTTTAGAGAGAGAGAAGGAGAGAGATTGTTTTTCTTTTAGAGAAGAATCCGGAAAAGAAGTTGCTGGGAATTTGAACGGTTACGACTTGCGAGTAAATGAAGAAGACGAAGTGGTCTGTTTTTATAGTGCGGAGATAGCGGAGATAACGGAGACGGGAATTTCTTCTGGGTCCTTTATGGTAACTCGCCGGTTCAAACTGCACCGGTATATGTAAACCGTATCAGGGTGAACCAGAAAACCAATAATTAAATTTGCACAACATCTTACCTTTTTCATTTTTCAATTTTAATCCCTTGGTTCGAAATATAGTTATTTCAACTTCAGTGAATAAACTATTCATCTTAACCAATTGAACCTAACTAAAATCGATACCAAAACCAAAGTCAAACAGTCTCCGATAAATTGAAACCGGTAACGTTGGTTTTCTTCTATATTGCCGCCACGAATGACGGAGGTAAGTAACGGCTGTTAGGTTCGTTGCCCCACGACATAAATATATGTTTTGAAAAAATGCAAATAAAGATTTCTTCCACTCAACAAATAATTGTGTGTTGTGAAAACTTAGAAACTTTATTAATCACTGGAATGTATATATAGAGTACATAGGGAATCTAGATTAAGTACAATGCTCTGATGGGCCTAATGGGCCGGTATAAGAGTCCATATATGATATGTGTTATAACATTGTGATTTTTTTTCTAGGACATTTGGTATATTTTTTGTCATTATGTGGACAAAAAGTTAATTCTTATGCAAGAACCTCTGAAAATAGAAGAACCAGGGTATTCTTTTGTATATTCATAAACATAATTTTCGTGAGGGAATTCTGCTCCTTCTTAACAAAATAAAAATAATTTTACAAATAGTACAGAAGTGATTTCGATTTATAAGAAGAGCTACAAAAGCTTCATTTGTTCTTCAACCTCTTTATAACTTTGGCAAACAAAAACATCCATTTATTAAGAGACTGAGAGGATAAGTTCTACATTTATTTTTTTTATTGCATTAACTCCACCATACCACAAGAATAAAAACAGTGAGGGTGTTGTACAGATGGAAACATAGTGGATCAAGTATCTTCACACGCGCCACGGAATGCAAGTTCATGAAACGCGCTTAGCCATGTGAAAATTGGAACTTGGAAGCATATAGAAAAAAAGAAGGCTGCGAGATTTGAATAATTTCTTCTTTTCTCCCACTTTTTTTTATTCTTGCACATGAAGCGAATTCTGACAGACACGTGATACCAACGTAAAGCACGTGAGGTTACTCTGTGATGCAATTTAATCTGATTAGCAAGTTATACCAGTCCCGTTTCTGTGATTATGGATTGTTTCCCCCAGTAGGGAAAGTTATCAAATGAAAAAATATGAACGAGAAGAGAAGAAGAAAACAGAGAAACGGGAGAGGGAGGACAAATTATTTTCAACTTGTTCAAAAGAAAATAAGCAATTGCCTATGTACCATTAGTTTAATTTGAGATTTGGATTAGATTGCAGATTGGCGAAACAATGATTAAGAAATAAATCCTTTATTAAAAGACAAATCATTAAAACCAATAACAAAAGTTGCACATGTGAAAGCAGATTTTCGACATACTTATAGTCGAGGGAAAATTTAGTTGTGTGTGGATATTTTCGGTAGCTTGATCTTCATATGTATAATATTTACACAGTTTTGTAGTGCGATGGGTCTAATCTGAACAGTAACGTGCAAATTACTCTATAATGAAGTAAATACGGGTCCTACATGACGTGAAAATTAGAGATAGACAGCCAAAAACAGCTTTTCAATGATTGTGGCCTAAATCAGAAGCAATGTATGAATCTCATCAAAGTTAGAGCAACTTGTGAGTGAGTGAGTGAGTAGTAGCCATCAAGTTACACCATCAATTTCATAACCAACTCAATCTTATAACTCTACGCCTTAATCTTTTCTTCAAGTGATGGTTATCTTTACAAATTTAAACCAATTTCAAAACACTTTCTAGGCCGGTGATTTGGACATTAAGCTATTTTTTGTTTTTGTTTTTGTTGGGAAATTCGACATACTCTTATTAGAAGGAGAGAAAAAGAAGACTAATCATGAAATATATATAGAGAATGAGCTTCTGGTCGCAATAATCCAAAGCATTAGATTTTACAAAGTAACAAAACACACGAATCAGATACTGGAAACACTCGAGTGTTAGAGTTTCCTACTGAATTGGTTCACCCGAATCAATGACTAAAGTATTTAATACTCTATATATAAACACCAAATAGGGTACAGAAGCCTAAGATACTACATCAGCTAATAAACAATACAACATCTTTTGTAAATCTTGAAAATTGTATGAAAATATTTCATTTTGATTTTCGTGTGAAATAACTTGAAACATATAATCTAGCACTCTACATAATAAACCGAATAAAAAAAACAAGTATTAAGCCGGTTATACCTGTTTATATTTTATTTTTCTCTATACAACAAAAACCGAAACGAAGCTAAAAGTTCAAGAGGCGGTTTGATTCTGCTTGCTCCAGTACTTCATCTCCCACTGTAGGATCCTCGTAGCTGCACTCTGTTTCCTCTTCACTACCGCGTAAAACGACGCCGGATCATAGGGAGGTGGCATGGCACACGGACCGGTCTGTGCAGGGTGCTTCACGAGAGATTCCGTCATGAACTTCCGCTCGTTACCGCTCCTCGGACACGCCATTGTTTCCGAGCAAATCTCCTTGGCATTCTGGGGAATCTCCGGCTTAAACTGGAGGAGTTTCGAGTATTCGGTTAGAAGGTGAAACATGTAATCATACACGTAGTCCATCTTTAGTTCTTGTTGGATGAATTCGCTCGCTGCCTTTCCAATATCCTGCGCCTGTTTAAACCAACAAAAAAAAAACAAAAAACCGTTGGAGGATAATGACAGGAGAATTTAGACTCGGTTCTCTCAGTTCAAACCAAGCTCTAGGTCTCAAATATAGTGTTTAAATGCATTGGCGTTTACATTTACAGTTAAAAGACTTGTTTTGTTTAAGATACACATGCTAACTGCAAAATGCAAAGACAAAGAAACAATCGAAATCCTAATGTATGGATTTGATCATAGATTAATAATACTGTACCTTTTGAATGTGGGAGTTACCCCAATGAACAGCGAACTTGATGGAGCGGCACTTGTCATGTTCTCTAACTGGCCAGTAATGGTGCGCGGGAAGCAGGCCTCGGGTGAAGAAATCATAGTAATGGGGTTTCACAAGCAGAGTCACCGAGTCACACGCCAAAATATACTTCTCACTCACGGACCACGCTGAACCTTCTATGTATATCTTAAACCTATATATCAAACATTGCCAAAAAGCCATCTTATGTCAACTTCTATGTTTAGCCACAACGCGACACCCTAATTTGAATATATGTTTGAAGTCCAGAAATTTTTCGTTACCTGTGATGGCATTGGCTCGCCAAGTCCGATTGCTTGTAGCCTTCCTTTGATTCTCGGATCCAGTCCTATAATATAAGTTCAAAAACACACATAACAGTTACAATAAAAAGCAATGTTGCTTTCTTTAAATCAGAATTGCAATTGTAACCAGCAGAATCAGATTTCTTGGCATTACTCAAGAACGTCATTTTATTTTTTAAAGGGCATCAATCATCATTTATTACCTGAGCATACAAACGAGCGTTCCACTCGTGTTCCTCAGAGACATTACATTTCATAAGATCTTGTCTTGTCTCAGCGACCAATGGATTCCCTTTCCAATAAGCATAAGGCTCTCTGTTTATCCAATTAGTCTTCTCGTTCCCTTCTCTTAGTTCCTTCAACAGACTCTCCCATGGCTTTATATTCACCTCCGACCTACACAAATCAACATAACGTTCCTTAATTGTCAAGTTTTTAGTGGGTCTTGATTAAATACTTTCAAAACTATTGTGGTGCATCCATTACCATCCCCAAAAGGACCAATCAGGAAACACGATATCGAGCGTCTCCTCGTTTCCACAGTAACGAAACAGCGGCGGAGGAGACGGCGAGTTAGCTCCGGCGAAATTCGCGGCCTTAACGACCGGCCAGTCGACGCAGTCAAACATGAGCTCGAGATCTGGAATCTTGCCAGGGTATCTCCGTAGAAGCTGCAAGAATCCCCAGATCGTGAACACATCTCTCGTCTGAAACGCGTCTTGAAATTTCTCAACGTAGAGCTTCCCGCCGACGATCGCTAGCCGGAAATTCGCCGTCTTCTTGGCGCGCTCCAACGCTTCCCTCGTGATACCAGTCTTCTCCCAGGGACGGAGGTCCTCGTGGATCCAGCGGAAGTAATCGGGACACGTGGCGGTCGTCGAAGAATGCGTTGAATCATCTTCTTTAAAGCTCACTGTCGTCGGGTAATTGTTTCTTGGGCATGTCCCGGTGGTCTCGTTGCCGGAGCAGTGCAATGTGAACTCGCGTGGGTTTTGTGTAATTATTGTCGCTGGTCGAGGGTAATTTGGGGATGCCGTCTCTGTTTTGGTATTCGTCGTCGTCACGGCTTCTTTCTCAATCAGAGCCTATTGAGTTTGAAAAAACAATGATGACTTGTGAGTAGTAGAGGGTTACAGCTAATTCACTTGAAAAAGTCATACACGGGTCCCACAGTGAACACGTGTCAGATTCTGCGTGATTTGTCAGGGAGCCGACAACATCACCACCAAGACTCTTTTCTAAAAAATTCTCACGTGACAGAATAAAATTCAAAGTGTTTGAAAAAGTAGCAGTCGCATTAATATAACACATACACCGAGAGAGGGATTGTCGATTCGGAATAAAACGACAAGTTTGAGCGTCGTTTAGAGGACTTACGGTAGGGTCGAGTAGGAGGCGCGTGGAGATGAACGCGCCAACGATGAGGAGGATGAGGAGGGAGAAGACGGCGTATGATCTGTTGGGAGATATTCCGAAACCGGACTTGACAAAGGGAGACCAGACAGTGTCGGTGAAGTTACGAGAATACCCCCCCGACACAATCTTGGACGGTGAGTTCCTCATCGGCGCCTGCTGCTGCATACTCCCCCGATAGAGAAACTAAACTAAACAAAAAAAAAAAAAAAGAAGATGGGAGAGAATCAAGGAGGAAAAGATTCTACAGGGTTTAGGACACAGAGAAAGTGGACCAAAAAAAAGAGAAAGAAAAAAGAGAGAGAATCTTGTGAGGTAAGGAATGTGAACAATCAAGTTTCAACTTCTTTTAATAGTGCAACACTTTTTTGAGGGTTTAATTTGATTTCAAAACCTTATAGGTTTGGGAATTGGGGCAAAAAAATAAGTAACGGAGGAAAAAGAAAATCATAGGATTACTATTGAGTCAATAGATAAACCCTATATACAGTAAAAACTTTATAAATTAATAATATTAGAATTTTGATATTTATTAATATAGAGTTATTAATTTATAAATTTTAAACAAAAAATATTTTTTATCTTTTATTAATTTTAAAAGGGATTTTTTTTATAGATTCTTTAAACTTTAAAACATTCCTTCAAAAATTAAAAATGAGTTCAAAAATTTTAAATTTAAAATAAATAATTAAAAATTTACTAAATTTATATTTTAGTAGATTATCTTACTTATATATTTTATATTATATTATATTTATAGTAATTATTAATTTATGATATTAATGAGATTATATATTTACATAGAAATTTTATTAAAATTATTTTCTTATCAAAATATGTCATTTTGAACTGGTCCAATTCAAAACTATAAAAGATTATTAATTTATAAAATTTATTAATTTATTGAGTATTAATTTATAGAGTTTTTATTTTATATTTCAATTAGATTATGTTTTAGGTCTTGTTGTTACGTTTTCAGATTTTTTCTTTTTTTTTTAATAAATAACAAAGTCAAGTTTAGAATTTTATTCAATATTGAACTTTTGATAAATAGTAGACAAGTAGTCTAGCTGAAAATTTCTTCTTCTTATTTCACAGTTTTCAGCATTCATTCTATCATTCGTTACTCTCGGCAAAATCAATTATTTTGTTAGTTTTATTTTTATATTTTTTGAAACTCAACAAATAGATTTTTGGGATATTTCTATAATTAGCTGAGCAATAGATTTCTAGATTCAGAGCCGTACTATAGTCTCTCCCTCGGATCAAGGATTCAAAATTTAATGTTGTAAACACACGACAAAACCACATGTTCTTTCAATTACAACAACACGAGTTGACAACCTTACCCCAAGAAAACGTACTTTTGGGGCCCTGATCGGAAATTTTTGGTAAGTGGGATGTTTCAATCGAGATTCGTAAAGAAGACATCTTCACTACATCTCGTTGATTTTTCAACTCTAACCCAATTTTAACATCCTCTTATATGGATAAAACATTAGCCATGTCTCGTTGAACTTGAAATACCCTATATATATATATATATATATACGTGTTTTATATGTAATTTCCTTAAACACAGATCAAGGAAAAGACGGAGTTAAAAAAAGTCCTATTTAAGAAGCCTAATTAAGTCCACTTCTTCTTATCCAAGCTATAATGCTACGTTCTTCCTTCTTCTACAACTTGCTTCTTTTTTCTTCTTCTACAACTTAGCAACGTTTACTCTGTTTTTGCTACGCTGACTTGGTTCTGAAAAGTGTTGAGGAAGTTTGGAATCACTTACGGAAATATTCCCGATAATTTAATTTGCTAAATAGACTACGCAATCCTCACTTACTTGTGTTGCTCCTTGGTTTTAAACTTTGAAAATATACCATAAAACCTCCGACAACAAGCACCTCCCATGGCTAAAATGCTACCATATAGTTTCTCCCACTTTAACTTAATCGACTATCCATTGTTTAGGGAATCAAGATGTCAAAAACCAGTACATCCTGAATTCAACTTTCACTAGTCTTTATAATTAGCATGTCTCGAGATGATCAAAGTTCAGTAAAACTATTAAAGAAAAATAATGTTAGAGACGAGACACTTGTTTGGTAATCGATAGCCTCACATGTCTAATGTCATCAATGTGAGTGAATGTTTTGTTTTTATAGAATTGTTTTGCATTATGTTCAGTTTTGGCTTGATCCATCGATAAAGAGTCAATTTATTTATTTATTTTTTTTATTTTTGGCAAACAAAGAGTCATATTTATACAAATTCATATATTATAAGTTTAAAAGCCCCATTTTACTTCATAGAGTTCTGTTATTGCCTCGGCAACAATTCTCTTGTACGCGATACACTTCTTCATGACAACATTCTTAATAAGCCTCGGTCATAAGAAAAAGACAAATCTAGTATATTTTTGTTTGGTCATCGGAGTTTTGCTCCAACAAGTCCATAAACAGACCCAACAAGAGCCAAGAGAGAGACGAGTAAGCAAACAAAGCTGAAACCTCTAAGAAGAAGCCATGGTCGCGTCCAAACTATAATCTTCTTCTGCAATATACACATCTCCACAGGGAAATACACAGCTAAAGGCCAAAAACCAAGTGCACCCAACACACCAAGCACTTCATTGAAGTATGGAAACACCATTGCCACTCCCGTTATTATCACCACATACGTTGTTCTCAGACACATCCTCATTGGATTCAGTCTCACCACCGTTCCTCCCCGTAACAACGGCAGTTTCAGGCCGTAGAATTTGGTGATGAACTTATTTTGTGGGTATTTCTCGGTTAGCCAATTTTCCATGGCTGCAAAAATCGGTTGACTATATACCTGAATTGCCATTTTATATGTTAAAAATATGTTGGAGGTTTCCGATCATGATCATTAATTTTCTTACAATTGAACATGTTATATCAAATCAAACTCCTCAGCTTCTAGTATTGTTGTAATTGTAAACGGAAACATCAAATTAAGCTCTTTTGAATGCATTTCTAGTTAACCAAAAATATTTTGTTTTAAATACTAAAAAAAGAAAAATGTAAATTTCACATGTAACGTAAACACATAGGATACCTGATATGCACCAAGTAAATGAAGAACAATGCAAGCGTTTGCGAGATCCACGAGCCAAAATGGATCATAGAACCCGAAACCGGTCAAGAGATTTCCCGGTGTGGAATCTCCAAAGGCTGCATACCCAAAACATCCACAACAAAGGTAGAAGAATGTTGTGATGAATACCGCAGCTGTTGAGGCTTTCTTCATAGTTTGCTTCTCCGCCGGTGGCGATCTCAATGTGTCCTGTCCTTAATATATAATTCAAACCACGTTAAAATGGTTTCTTTATCACAAGATAAGAAGAAACTCATGCTCTGGCTTTTAGATATTTTACCTGAATTTCAAGAAGTATGATCGAGTAAGGATAAGAAAAGGCAATGTTCCCAAGAGCTTGGAACACTAACCACACTTTTGCACCTCTGTTTTCTGCTGGACTTCCCCTTACACTTCCTTCGATTTGCCGGTTTTCTTCATCTCACATACAAAATACATTCAACGGTACTCTTCCGTCTCATAACAATTGACAAGTAAACTTGACTCATCTTTTTTTAACTTGTTACGTTGGTTGGTATCAGAAACAACATAGCAAAATAATTATAAATACGAGAGAGTGAGACTTATATATACCTAAGATTTGGCCAAAGGCCAGGCCGAGCCCAATGGACGCGTAAACAAAAGACATAATTGCAGCGACAACAGAGAGCCATAGCATGTTGTGGAAATTAGGTGTTTGTGACAAAAAGATCTGAATCACACCAAACAAAAGCATGAAGTAGTTGTTCTTGTCTCCATAAGAACATGTTGCATTGTGTCCCTTTCTATGATAGCAATTCGATCTCAGAATTGCTCTGTAATGAAATGGAAGAAACTCAACAATACAATATTAAAAAAAATTCTAAGAAAAACAAAAATATTGTATCTTTACACTTATTACCTAATGCAAGTAGCAGTCACAATGGTATAAGCAATGCCAACACCAATAAGGCCAATGTATACAAAGACCCCACATACGATCTGATTTTTCTTCCCTGCAAAATTAAATTACTCATCTAAATAAATTTATATACATAAAAAGAAAAATTGGTAACCAAAAGTCTATGACCAAAAGCCATTTTTCTATCGCCGGTATTCGAACTGTGACGTCTATAAACTCTTCTTTTTTTTTTTTTGTGGTCAGCTAGTACCCTAGCTAAACTACCTATACGGCGGGTAAAACAAAATTTCTTTTGTGTGAAGGAAATTGGAACTTGAGTTTTGAAGTTGACCTAAATAAACTTTAACGGCTTGAGAATAAGAGTTGAGGCGGATGGGACCATTGTCCGCATCAGGAAAAAGGTAGCAATCGGAAAGAAGAAAAGCAGAGAGAAGTGTGACTCCGGCGAAGGCTATAATGGCTGCCGGACCACCTATCCAGCCGAGCTCGGCGGTGGCCCAAGCCAACGACAAAACTCCTGCTCCGATCACTCCTGTTATTATATGTGCCACCGCCGTCCACAACGTTCCTTTATTTTATCAAGAAACACTCAAACGTAATCATTAGAGACTACATATACTGTCATTAATCGCATGCTAATGGTTAAGATTTATGATTATGGATTTAATTACCTGTTCTCGCATAAACTGAATCATGAAGTTGAAGTTCCGTAGGTCTCACAACTGGAGACTCGTCATCTTCTTTAATGTCCATGTGTTTGTTTTTTCTCAATGTTGTTAACGAATATGAAGATCTATAGCATGTGCATATGTGTGTGTAATATATAAATTCATGCGGGAAGACGACATGAAAACATTTTTTTTATCTTCTCGGGGAAAGAAACCTTGTGTGGGCTGTAAGACATGTATCTGTCTCTTACTATAATTACAATGTATACTCACTTTATTTATATATTTGTCGTCTTTATGTGTATAAGAGTATAAGATTAGTCGATGGTCACATCTACGATTAGTCATTGATTGTAATGGATGAACGGCTGGGTGGTCCATTTTTCTTGTTAGAATGCGAAAAGAGAAATTAGCTTAGCTCACTGCTTCTAGTTCTTTTTCATCAAACAATAACTAGTAATTTATAATGACATTTGTTTAGAAAGGGTAGTGTTCTCTAATCTCTACATTTCTGTTTGTTAGAAATTATTCTAACGTCGGTCTGTAATTGGTAAAATCCCATCTCAGCACAAATTATGGATAGTTTAAAATTTTCCTGTAACAAAGAGAGAATAAAAACAAATGCTGTAATTAAGGGAAAAAAGTAACATCAGTTTTGTAGTTTCATCCTACGTATCGTATGATACATGTGTCCTCGTCTATGCATACTGATCAACTCTAACCGGATTAGGTCTACCATAAAGAAAAATCTTAGATTCTTCTTTAACCCAACTTCTTAAATACAGTATCATGTAAAATAAACAAGAAAATTATTCTTCATTGTTATCTATCACCCAAGGTCGTATTTCTCTTACATTCATGGCCACATTAGTAAATAAACTGAGCCCTTCCAAGGCCCTATCTCGTAGATTAGAGAAAAAATAATCTGAGAAAATAATAAACCCAAATATATCATACTGCAAAAGACTTGTTTCAATATGTTCAACCCTAGTAGGCTAGTAAACTCTTATTAATAGAAATGAAAGCCTTGTGTCCCGAGTTGTTAAATAAAGATAAACAAAACAAAGACAAAAACTATTTGTCCACCCTAAAATATTTGTGAACGGTAAAAGATCAAAAAAAAAGTTAAGAAAAGAAGAAGTGAGAGAAGTGTGTGTATTTACAATTACAAACGTATGAACACATCTAGTGAACAAGGACTAAAATACCACTTGATGCAAAACTAGATGTTAACTTCTTGTTTTCCTAATTAATTTGCAAATTCCTTCTCATCTTATAACAATTTTCCAAAACATTAATAAAGACGAAGCAAAGCGACTTTAGAAAAGTAGGCGTAGTAAGAATATTGCAGAGCTGTCCATACGTCACATATCTCACCCTTTACCAAAAGCCACCACAAATTTTTGTTGTCAATAATCACTCATTACCCAATTCTCTCTTTTATTCATCACAATTTTTTTTTTTTTTAATCAAACTCTTTCCTCTCGATCTGATCTCTGACTCTTCCTTACTTCTCCAAGATCACACACGAAATGGCTCAGGTTTTTTTTGTTCTCATTTAATTACAAAATTGAATATGATTTATCTCTTTCATCGAAATCGTGTTCTACTCTTAGTTTTTTATTTTTGTAGAAAGTGGTGTTGAAGGTTTTAACCATGACGGATGATAGGACCAAGCAGAAAGCCATAGAAGCTGCAGCTGATATCTTCGGTGATTATCATCACTACTTCTTTTCCTTAATTATCTTCAACTCATATTCGATTCTCTTTTCTGGGTTTTGTTTTTGCTCCGTAGTCGTTATTTTAATTTACTCTAGTTTTTTTCAGGATTTGAAGACCAAAAAAAAAAGATTTAGCAAGTTTGCTGCTGTTTTTTTTTTCAGTCAATATACTACCATTTTCGGCTAAAATTAACTATATGGTTTGATTACTAATTGTATAATGGCGTCAGCGTTTGAGGGCTTAGATAATTTGATTTGAGCTTCTCGGATTTTGACATATTGTCAACGAGTTAATATTTTTTTAACGGTGAAGAACAAATTGTAGGGGGCTATTTAAATTTAGAGGCCCATATAACTATATGGGCCTAGACGAAAACGTATTAAGGAAACTCAGAAATTCGTGTGTGTGTGTGTGAATGTGATCTGCCTTATGAAATTACAGATTGTGATGGGATAGTAAGTAAGATAACAAAACTGATTGAAGTGTTCCATTTTCAGTAGACTCAAAACAATGAATATATGACTAAAGATGATAAAATGTGATTATGCTAATGATAAAATGTAATTATGCTAAGTAGTAGAGGATTTGATGATTATGTTAAGCAGGAGTTGATTCGATAGCAGCGGATATGAAGGAGCAAAAATTAACGGTGATCGGTATGATGGATGCGGTTGCGGTGGTAAAGAAGCTGAAGAAGGTCGGTAAAGTCGATTTGATATCGGTCGGACCGGCAAAAGAGGAGAAGAAAGAAGAGAAGAAGGAAGAGAAAAAAGAGGAGAAGAAAGAGGAGAAGAAGGAAGAGAAGAAGGAAGAAGAAGCTAAGAAATAAGAACTCTATTGAAAATTAGAATTCGTAAATTTTTGTCATCTTGATTTCACAATCAGAACGCTAAATCATTGAATAATTTATAATGTAATATTAGTTGTTCAACACACTGTAACAAAACTAAGAGTTAAACATTTTCAAGGAACAACCAAATTAAATTGAATCCAACCCGAACTGAACCAATAAAACTTTAGCTAATATTCGGTTAAGTTGTCTTTAATCTTTATCTGGCTATGTAGTTTTGTATTTTTCCATTTTATATGTGGAATAAAATTTAAGATAATGTTAGAAAATATAAGAACTTCTTTGTCAGAAAAATAATAGTGACAAAAAATAGAAGAACCCATCAAATCAAGAAATTATTTACATTCAAATAAGAAACAACATTGTTGAGTGACTTGGTAGCCAACTACCACAATTACGTAGGCAATACGAAACTAAATAATAAATCTATTTTAAAACCTTTTTTTAAAGAAAACCTATCTTTCGCAGAAATAATAACTATCTTTTTTTACGATAAAAGTTTCCTTAAAAATAAAAGATTAGCGTGAGTAATAGCGGAGGTCAAAAACTGTAAGTTATCAGAATATCACACATCGAAGGAAATAAATCAAGTATTAAGTAGTACCTAACCTAAACCGTATACTATCAGATACTGTCAATTGAAGGAAAAAATAGGAAGACAATTATTGGTGTTACCTTTCTGAGTTCTGTCATAGAATCATTAATATTAATAACATTCCGGATTTAGCAACTACCATGGTTAATGCATTCTAAACTTAACTTTGGCATTTTACATGAACGATAAAACTTTACGGTTTCGATAAGAAACAAGATTCGCGCGTAAAGAAATGTTACAAGTTATAAAGAGTCTCCTTTTGGGCTACATAACATAAGTAACGTAACGTAGTTATACTATCTTTTTTTTCTCAGTAAACCTTTTTATTAACCTCATATGACGATGACGTCATGGGAGTTGGTGATTCGGTGTTCCCTTTGAAGTTGGGAATAACAAATAAACCAAAAAACAAAAAACAAAATAAGAATTAATAGCATTCCGGTTTTCCTTAATTACTTACTAGTTACTACATTCTGTTTTTGAATCTTACATCGAATATGACCCGGTTTGATGATATTTGTGCTGAGTAGCGAACCGGTTCTGATCGGTTCCGTGTTTCTAAGAATCACTTTAATAAAACCTGAATTAACACACGATGGGTCCCATTCTTATCATTTCAAGACTTACTGATTTGCCGTTTAATCCTGTACTTTAAAAGCATTTCAAATTTGAGCACCAAAGCTTGCCTGAAATTGTAGAGAACCACATAACGTTTATTTCCTTATATGCGAATCAAACAATTAGTGACAACTGTAACGCTATCACCGTTGAAGCAATTACAAATCCCTGATATCTTCTAAGGAGATAAATTAATAAATTTAGAGTAATAATAATAAGAAAGAGAATTGGGGTTGAAATGTGAATATAACTAAGATGTGGATGTAGTTGTAATTTATCTTTAATATTAATGATCGTGCGTTAATGATACTAAATTTAGAAGAAAACAAATAAAACGAAAAGAAGGCGAGTCATTTTATGACAACGAGGAACAGAACATCACTACCAAACAATTCCAGCTCAGTTTTTTATAAGAAAAATCGACAGCTGATCTCTCAAAATATTTTGTTCCCTCTCTCTCCTCGCCTTCTCTCTCTTACATAACCAGACTTCTTCTGGATCATTCTGATTCTATCTTCAGATTCTTTTTCCTTGTCTCTTTGTAATTAATCTTTAGTTGTTATACCTTACGACGTCATATACGACATGGCCGAAGAGGAACCAAAGAAGGTGACGGAGACCGTGTCGGAACCAGTTTCATCACCGGAGGCTCCGGTGGAAAAACCTGTTGCTGAGGCAGATGTTGCTCCACAGGAGAAGCCTGTGGCTCCACCTCCGGTTCTTCCATCTCCTGCGCCTGCTGAGGAGAAGCTAGAGGACTCCAAGGCTCTTGTTCCCGTCGCCGCAAGTAATTACTAATTTTCTTTATCAATTTTAAAAACAGTATATTACTCAAGTTGGCTGAAAGAAGAGGAAAAAAACTTCTACCAATATATATTTTCTATTTATATAATGATCACAGTCAAATATACACCTGACTATTCAAGACTATTACTGATAACGTTTCAAACATATTTTGTTGCAAGATTAAGAACAGAGTTTTGAATCTATTTCTAGGAAAAAAGATTGACAAAAAACTTTCGAGATTTTATCCGTATGTCAATTTTAAGTTTGGGACAAGAATGACCGAAAATTATTGCTATTCTCTTATGTTTGTGTTGTGGCAGAAGAAGCAGAGGAAGAAAGGAAAGAAGGATCGGTTAACCGAGGTAACTAACCAAACAGCTTCATGATTTAATTTAAAGCATTATATAACCTAAAAATTAAAGGAAAATAATTACAAAGGTAACCGTGTATGTATAAAGCTATAAATCAGCCTGGAGACAGTAATCAAACAGTACGTATAATGTTTGCGGAATAATTAATTAATTGGTTAATTACCGTAGTGCTTTTTTATATTGGGCATAGATAAGTTAGGTGGTAATGCTCTCGTTTAATTATGGTTGTTTGTATAAAATCAGGCAGTTGGTTTAAAAGGTTGTATATGGACGTGCGTGTTTATCACTGTCTCTTATTTGCCTACATACTCTGATTAATAATTGTATTTGCTTAAAATATTTGGGGAGTGAAGATGCTGTTCTGGCTAGAGTTGAGACAGAGAAGAGGATGTCACTAATCAAAGCTTGGGAAGAGGCTGAGAAATGCAAAGTGGAGAACAAGTAACTTTTCTTTTTTTTTACTTATTTAACTTTTATCCACAGTCTAAATATAACCGGCTCGGCTTCTAAAAACCAACTTCGAAACAGTCAAAGACCTGGTTAAATTCTTGCGATTAAACCAATAGATTAGACTAACATCTGCCTTAGAATTGAGTTGTGAGAGATGAATAAAATGTTTCTTACAGAGCTGAGAAGAAGCTTTCTTCAATTGGATCATGGGAAAACAACAAGAAAGCAGCTGTGGAAGCTGAGCTCAAGAAAATGGAGGTATATTATATTTCACTTTTCAGATTTTTTATTTGAAATACATTTTACATATATTTAGTTGGAGACTTTTAGACGTTTCTGGATTAGTTGTATTTTTTCTTTCAATTGTGGAATTGCAAATAACAACAGGAGCAATTAGAGAAGAAGAAGGCAGAGTATGTGGAGTTGATGAAGAACAAGATAGCTCAAATTCACAAGCAAGCAGAAGAGAAGCGAGCGATGATCGAAGCTAGACGTGGAGAAGAGGTTCTCAAGGCCGAGGAATTAGCTGCCAAGTACCGTGCAACTGGAACTACTCCGAAAAAGCTATTTGGGTGCATGTGATTTACTCATATCCATAAAAAAACAACGAATGTGGTGTTGCTGTAATGGTTTTCATTTTTTATTTAATATGGAAAATAAACAAAAAAGGGTTCATTTATATGTTTTTTTAATTTGCTTATTGTGGATGTAATTTGCAACATAGAAATTTATGATATCATATAACATCTTATATTAATTTGGGGGTGCGTTTGTTTTTGATCAAACCTTCCTTTATAGAGTATGTTGTTTCTTTATGGCGTAATTTATGATCGCATCCCTATCGTAAATGGTCCCATAAATTATTGAAATATTCAAATACAGTTTCCTTTGAATGTGATTAATTCAGTACTACTAGGCTATTAGCTGACCACTCTTAAGGTCTCGGAACAAATTATGGGCTTAAGGCTATGCAACTTCAAGAACATATAGAAATAATATAAAATAAAATGTAACTCACGGGCCATAAAATAGAAGGCCCAAACCCAGCTAAAGAGAGATCTTGGAAATTAGGGTTTTGTCCGGAGCATCATTGCTTTGAGTTTTTCAGTCGCTGCCTTTCGCAACTCTTACACATCCTTTGCCTCAAATTCTTCAGCGGAGAGCAGCAGCAACCTAACCAGTAGCTATGGCTGAGCAGGTTCGTTTTCGTTGCTCTCTATTTCTTTCATATATTTCTTTTATTCTTTACGAATCTCATTCGCTTCTTTCTCTTGCAGACTGAGAAAGCTTTTCTTAAGCAACCCAAGGTTTTCCTTAGGTAATTCACGACTAAAAATGAATCTTTTCTTTAGTGGAATTACTCTGAGCTACTTGTATAAATCCTTTTCTTTTCGAATTTGTCCTTAATGATCAACGGTTTTATGTGTGTGTTTTAGCTCGAAGAAATCTGGGAAAGGCAAGAGGCCTGGAAAAGGTGGAAACCGTTTCTGGAAGAACATTGGTTTGGGTTTCAAGACTCCTCGTGACGCCATTGAAGGTTTGTTTTTTATGCTTAGTTTCTTATTGCTGATCCATTTTAAGTGTCAAAAGTTCGAAATAGTCTAGCTAATTAGGCTGTTAAAAGTGGGTTCTCCAAGTTTTCTGTTTATAAATTTGCATCTCTCTCTCTTCACAATTGATCTGTGATAAATCTGTTCTCTATCAGTTAGTGTCTTTTTTGGTTGGTGTGGATCAGAAGATCCATTGAGTGCTTGCTTTGACGGTATTTGAAATGTGAAACTATCAAAAAGCATTCAGACACTGTTTTGTAAACGTGCTTTGTTTTCCTGTGGAACAGGAAGTTACATCGACGGGAAATGTCCATTCACTGGAACTGTTTCTATTAGAGGTCGTATCTTAGCTGGTACTTGCCACAGTGCCAAGATGCAGAGAACCATTATCGTCCGCAGGAACTATCTCCATTTTGTGAAGAAGTATCAAAGGTACGAGTGTGTTAACCTCTGTTCTTGATAGAGCCCAAAGATTTATTACATCAATGCTAAAAAATACCTTGATCTCCTTACTCTTTCGTCAGATATGAGAAGAGACATTCTAATATCCCTGCCCATGTCTCACCGTGCTTCCGTGTCAAAGAAGGTGATCATGTCATCATTGGCCAATGCAGGTAATTCATTAGATTGTATGGAAAAACAGTGTCTTTATGCTTTTTTTTATACGATTTTCATCAGATATGGGAGCGATCTGATTTGCTTGGGGTTTTATTGCAGGCCTTTATCTAAGACTGTGAGGTTCAATGTGCTGAAGGTGATCCCTGCAGGCGCATCTGCCTTTGGAAAGAAGGCATTCACTGGAATGTAAGACTTTTCAAGTTTGGAGAATTTTCGTTTGTTTGATTTTGATTTTTGAATGTTTTGTTTGGTGATCCCTTTTGTTGGAGACTTTGATTACCACAGACTAAATAGAGATCTATGTTCTTTCGTCATCTGAAATTACTACATTCAACTGTTTTGTCTTTGGTATCTCTAGAAATCATCTACTTTGTCTGTCTGAAAACACCCTCGTAGGACATCATTATTTTTGTTAATGCATACAAAAAGTTCGAAACTGAAATTTTTAAACTAAGTCGAGAGAAAGTTGTCAAGCAATGTGTGCATAAATCAACCTTTTTTCTTCTTCTCTATACATAAATATTGATCTTTTAATCAAAGAAAATGACACAACACTCAATATAAGGAGAATGTAGTCTCACTTTTTTAGTTCCGAGGAACGAGAGGAGGTACCTAATTAGTCAGCGAGACTTCAAGACCAGCAGCCGATTCTACTGATCAGCAAGCTTTTACATAAATGTAGTTTACATGCAAGATTATGTTCTCATATATGAAAGTTCAAAATGTTTTTACTTTTTTTTTTGTTGATTGAGTCAAAATTATAATTAATCCAACAGTGATCTGATAAATAGGATATTACTAAACAAGAATCAAACTCAGACTAAGAAAAATAAGAATTAAACTCTGATTAATCCCAACTTTACAGGCATTTCTCATTTTCATGAATTATATCATATGCTGTGCAAACCTCCAATATGCAAATAACTGTCCCGTGATTATAGATTCTAAATAGATAGATATCTATATAAAATAATGTATCACGGCTACCAAAATTTGTTAGGCGCATTGATATATTATTGTAGACGAAGGCAAATTAAATTTATTATGTATCTATCTGCCAACAAACTAGTAGCTACTTCTGTAATCGTAATCAAACATAAAGACTTATTTCTCAAATATGAATAAATGGAATAAGAATATGATGTATCAAAGACTTAAAACTTGTGGTTAACAGCAAAAAAAAAACATGGCAATTACATTTTTAAGAAAATGTATAATAACTAAAAAAATCCTTTATAAATAGAATCAAGACAGATCGAACGCTCTCACAAGTCACAACTGCAGCAAAATCTCAGGTAGGAAATTAAATTTGAAAAAGTAAAAAAAATCAAGAAGAAGCATCATAATTCGTAAAAGATAGTAATGATATAAATTAACAAGAATAATACTCTATAGCTAAGGCTTTCTTTTGCCCACGTAAACCTGCAATACTCCATCAGATCCCGCAGCCACTAGCGTGCACTGGTCCACACCTGATTGCCTCCAGCAAACGCTACTCACGAACCGCTTATCCGAACCAGAAGAAATACCAACCGGTTCATACCCGTCTACCCAAACCGGCTTCCCCCACCTCTTATCGTACACGAACACCCTGTTATTCTCCGATCCGCAACCAAACAGCGCGCCGTTTCTCCACACAGACAACCCCACGAAGTTCCGACTGTTCACGTGCCCCTCGTACGTGCGAATCACGCACCCGTCCTCCACGCTCCACATCTTCAGACATCCGTCCGTGCCTGCCGTCACCACCGTACCACCGTCGAGGAACCTCACATACGACACCGTTTTAGAGTGACCTTGCAAAGTCAACGCTGGGTCAACGAGTTTCCTCATGTCGTACACGTACCCTCTCCGATCAGCGCATCCAACGGCCACCGCGGGTCCGCCGGAAGGATCGAACTCAACGCAACAAACGGCGCTCCGGCAATGTCCGGCCGGTCGGACAACGCCGACAGTTTCCTCCGGCGGACACCTCGGATCCCAAACCTGCATAGTCCCGTCGTCCGATCCCGACGCTCCCACAGCGGCGGCGCCACCGTGTCGCGTGTAATCCACGCTCCAGACGCGTCGGCCACCGTGCTCGTCCCTCTCGAAAACGGGCGTCCTTTTCTCGAGGTCGTACTCCGTGACGACGCCGTCGTAATCTCCCGACCCGATGACCCGACCGCCCGACCCGGGTCTCCATCGGAGACTACTGAGCTTCGCCGGCGTACAGATGTAATACTCGCAGGCGGTGGTATGATCGACGAATGAGACTCCTCCTCCTCCTCCGGAGATTCCGGCGTTGGCCCGTAAGAGAGAAGGGAGACCGTAAAAACGAATCTTTCTAGAAATTCCGGCGGTGGCGAGGATGTTATCGGTCGGGTCGAACTCAATAGCTCCGATGACGTCAGAGGCGGAGGAGGAAGAAGAGACGACGGTGGAGAGAGAAATATCCCATTCGTATCTCGCTGCTGCTGCTTCATCTTCTTCTTCTTCTTCTTCTTCTTCTTCCTGCTTCTGAGGATGAAGAGTGTTCATATGAAAACAGAGAATGACTGTTGCTTCTGGGGATTCGGACCAATCGAAAACCAATCCCATTCAAATAATTTTGTTTTTTTTATTATATTGTTATAGAAAGTATTCATTTAATATGGTTTTGTCTCCCCAGTAAATATGGCTTTTTTACCAATCCACGTATGATTTGATTTTATCCATTCTTATGTAATGTCAGAGAAAGGGTCCCGTTTAATTCTATTTCAGGTAAGAAAGTGTGATGATTACTTGTCGTGGCTACTCGTATAGCCAAACATGGAAGAACTCTATTGAATTGATGGAATTCGAAGTAAGCGAAAGGACGAACAATGTTAAATAGGTGGTAACGCCTCCACATTGATCTCGACTATCATAAGTGAGAATACTTCACTGTCCATAAGATTGAAATTGTTCGAAAAGTACATTAATTAACTTATTAAACAGTTAAGACTTAAGAATAAAACAGTGAAATAATTAGGAGTGGTGAAGAAACTAATTAAGATACTAGAGAGTTTGTTATTTAAGTGTTTGAGTGTCCGGTTAGGTTATAAAATGGTTGGCATTTAGGATGTGATTTAAACTATTTTGTTGTTAGAAAATTTAAAAACTTTTGAAGATACGATTGAAAAAGACTGTAGCTTTTTTTTTTTTTTGGTTGGTAGCCTTCACTGCATTTACACAATTTTTTTTTTCTTTTTGTTCTTGCTCAAACTAACTTCCACAGCTCCAAGTAGTAGACATATCCACCACTTAACCCAATGTTAGGTTGAGGCATGTAATTTTTATAAAACCACTCTTTTGATATTTTAACAAAACTATACTGATATCTTAAAAGAAAACCATTGCCACGTAATCAAATCTTTCTTGCAGGGAATTTTAATTTTTTTTGAACAGATTCACTGACCAAAATTTCCCACCAACAAATACGACTTAACATAAGTATTCATACGTTGCGTCTATGTTAGTATGTTGGTATGTAACTGTCAAGGATAACAATGTATCATCATGTGTTTCAACTTTCAACTTAAGATTGTGGAATGTTTTATTTTTGTCACGGCCGGACTCATTAGAAACTTTTTCAGTCGCAAACAACAGAACAAGAAAAAAACAACAGAACAGAAATTTAAGTTTAACATACAAGACACGTACTATCTCCGCATAAATTGATGTAATAACGAATAATCGGAAAAAGGAGAGAAAATGGTGGTAGGTTTTGCGTAAGAAAAAAAAGAAAAATTTGTGGACAGAAAAGTGAGGAGGAGTCATACGTGTGTTATGTACCACCTTTGGTCATGTCCTCCCTTTTTACGTCTCCTGATTATTTCTCAGCCTCACGTCTTCAAAACACTTGAGCTACATTCTTGGACCCACTCTGCTTCAAGGAATGGATTCGATTTCGATTTAATGCCACTAATTAATATAGCTACCAAAAATATAAATTTCACCAACTAAAGTGGAAAGACAATCTAAACGGCCCCGTTAACTAGTTGTATCTATTTTTTTTGGCCAATAATTTCATCTTCTTCCACCTTTTTCTGAATAAGAAACATAGAGGCTTTATAAAGTATGTATACCACAGTTTATATACTAAATGAAAGGTGATGAAAATTTAAAATAGTTCTTCAAAAAAAAATTGACGTATTATTTTGAAGTATGGAAAAAATAGTATTATATCAAAATTGTTTGGTTGTCCCTTGATTATTCAGAAGAACAAATAATTACAAACGGTTATATTTGTCAATTATATCATGACTAATGAGAAAGACATGTCTCTTCTTCCATTTTGCTGTCAGTTTTTTTTTTTTTTTTTGGGGGGGGGGGGAATGAGCTAATAATGTTTAATATACTTAATTTGAGTACACTACAATTTCATTGGTGCTTTTGTTGATGCAACTTTCCCATCAGAAGAAAGCAAAAGAACAAAGTGGAAATACCAAAGCAACTCCAAAGATGACTAAAGCAGACTGGATACACTCATTCACAAAAGAATGGAAAATTTATTAAGTACTAATTAGAAAAAGCGAACACCAAAGTTGGACAAGAAAGATGATCACACTAGGATAGGAGTATCAAATATTTATATAGATTATCATCATATTAGATTGCTAATATCCATACGCGAGCACGTATCCACACTGGCACAAACTATTACGACTAGACGACTAACCATGTTTTATTGCTAGTACAATAATTGTCATTAGGAATTGAGCTCTAAAGAGAAATTTAGCAATAATCAGATTCATTAGCCCACCTATATTATATCACTGACATTCAACATATGATTAACTAATTAATTAACCAAACCCTAAACTCGATACTGGAGTCAAATTTGATGATAATTTGGATTTAATAGTGAATATTATATGAGAAATATCGGAGATCTGACCTTTAATTGCCATGAGAAGCATCCTAGATCAGGCCAGCTTGGTTCAACAGCCCCAAAATACAGTGATAAAAATAAAACCAAATATAGAAAATTTTAGTCATGTTCCTAAATCTGGTTAGGGCTTTGATATATTGAGAACAACAATTTTGGTACAAAGACAAATACTTGTATTTGCCTGCCGACAAGAACACACACACAATACAGCCACCCACGCCACATTATAAAACAAAAGACGATACAAAAAAGAACAACTCAAAAAGAAAGGTACCTTGCACAACAAGAATCATGTAAATAGTTCCCAAAAGACAAATTGACAAAAACAAAAAGTGTTCCCAAAAGACACGAAAAAAGAAAAAAAAAAAAAGAGAGTAAAATTTCAGAGATGAAGAGAGCTTACTTCGTCTTCTTTCCATAGCCCATCATCATCATACATATTCCAGTTCATGAACCCTTCATCTTTCTCCGTCCACTGACATATGACGCAAGTCCCAGGATCCACACAACCCACAAACTGCTTCAACTGCGAGGCCTTCTCTATTTTCGTTCTCCATGGAATCTCCGTCGTCGTATCTTCCCCAAACTCGATGTAAGAATGAGAAATATTGAGAACCTCGAGTCTTTTCATTTTCTCAAAGATCTTTGCGAGCGCATCTATGTGTATAGAGTTGCATCTGAGGCTGAGGACTTCCAGCTTCGGGAGGAGGCAGACGAGGTTCTGGATGCAGAAGAGATTGATGGGACCCATTATCTTGAGCTCTCTGAATTTCTTGCAGTTCTCTCGGATCGCCGAGAAGACAAAATGCGGGTTTACCAAGCTTGGCATTGTTAGTGACTCTAGTTTCTTACAGTAGCTTATTGCATCACATACACTCCTCTCTGTTAGTCTGTTCCAAGATGGTAGCACCAAGCGTCTCAAGTTTGGACACCTGCAACAATTGAGCAAGGAAAATTGTTGCTCGGTTAAACAGTGATTTTTTTGGCACAAGGCACTATAAAATTCCAATTTTCAGCCATCTTTTATTCATTGATAGAGATAGAGATATTAATTACGTCAAAAACATAATTGGAGACCGAAGAAATTAATTTATCTATACATCTAGTATTATTAATGTATAGAGGTGATACTGCATTTCCAAATCTGCAACTTGAGTTTCATGCTACTGAAAAGAGCCATGATAGGATAATAATTTTCTGTTCAATATAAGACGGGAAAAAGAGAATATACCTTCTTGTGGTGTAAGTAAGCATGTCACCATTGGGAAACAAGTCGTAATGGAAAATCAAGGTCTTTGTGTTTCTCTTGCTAAGACTCATGGAGAGTTTCAAGATCCGAGTCAGTGCCTTATCAGAGTGGCTATCCACGTACACATATGGCTTACATGACAATTCGAAGAAGTTAGATCTCATGTGTGATAAATCGAGCGTGTTCCACAGAATGGGATCGCAGCAAGCCACACGCCATCCTCTACAGACATGAGCTACTCCAGAAGTCAACTCATCGAGGCTAAGATACTTCTTAAAAATCATCACTAGTATGTCAGTGTCCAGATTTTCCCATCCTTTGAATACCATTGAGAAAGCTTTCAAGAGGAGAGACAGAGATTCTTGTAGAGAGTTGTTATAACATCTTCACAACCCTTAAACAAGCAGAAGACAATTATACGGAGTAAGAAAGACATCTCTTTTAGGTTTTTTTTTTCTTTCGACTAAGGAAGGCATCTATATGGAAATCAAAAAATTAATTATCAAGATGAACTTCAAAATACCTACAATTGAATACTTAATAAGCAGATTTCAGTATTAAGAACATGTACATTTATGCCGTGTTCGGTGATAGTAAATTTCAATATGAATGGACTGAAAATCAACAAAATCATATTGAAATGATTCTCTATCTATATATAAGTCATGCAAACTTCAAAAGGCATAACCAAAAGCTCTAAATCGAATTCAAACAACATAATAATTTCTTCAATCCAACAACGCGCGGCAAGGCATGGAAAATCATGAAAACAATTAAGCATCCCCAATAATAATATTAATATCTAACTGCAAAACGAATCAGAATCTAAGACAGTAATTGACTCACAAAAACCTAAAAATGTAACGAATCTAATATTAAGTATTGCAAAGAATTCGAGCTAATATCGCTTAAAAAAAAAACACAACGGGATTCTCGTAAGAAACAGATCTTATTACCCGCAGTATTGCGAACAGAAACCTAGCTAATAACTGCACATGCATAGATCTCACAATCTCACAAGTAATAAGGTATCAAAAGAGTATAAAGCCATACCCTGAAACGACAAGGAGGGGATAAGTGAAGAACCTTGGAGAAATGGTGGCGGCGACTCTTTTAAGATTAAAGAACGTTACCTTTTTATATACGAATGGAACAAGGGCACTGGTCTGATATGATTTCACCTACCTCTTTAGTCTGATTCTCTTACCAATAGAAATCAAGTACATGCATGCATTGTAAAAACGATTTTATCTTATCAACATTTTCATTTAGTTCCTAGTCAAATTTTATTTGTTTTCATTTTGGATCAGCACGTTCGATTTTTTCTATAATCAATATTTTTTTTCTATGTAATAATAACAGTTGAATAACATTTTTTGTTTGTAAAAGAAAAATAATTTCATTTTGAGTTTTATTCTAAACTACATATTCGTGCACAAATTTTTAACCACATATAGATATTCTATTCCATTAAAATATCAATATTTGGCTATAGCTTTTATACATATAATTAAAAATATTGTTAATTATGATTATGGATGAAAACAAAGAAGTTTTTTGGTGGAATTTTTTTGGAACAAATAAATCATTTTCAACAGATCGACATATTGGATAGGTAAATTATATATTAGTAGAATATCATTTGACCAAAAAAAGTTTTTAAAACAACGGATGTTTTATTTGTTTGTTTATATAACAACAAAGAGACTACACCAGACAAGAAATCATAAAAGTACAAAAAAAAGATAAAAAAGGTAGACCTAAAAGGAAGGTACCTTCCATATCAAGGAATAGGGGTCTCCAAGGAATATGCAAATAATTGCAAAAAGACATCCAATTTAGAGATGAAGGGAGTTTATTTCATCTGCTTTCCATAGCCCTTCTTCATACTTATACCACCTCATGATCCCTTCGTCTTTCTCTGTCCTCTGACACATGACACAAGTCTCGTGCTTCATACAAGTCACAAACTGCCTAAGTTTCGAGGCCTTGTCCATTATCTCATCGTCAACTTCCTTCACAATATTGAGCTTCTTCTTATTCTTCTCCAGCTTTTGGACCACGAGGTAAGAATGAGAAATGTTGAGAACCTCGAGGCTTTTTAGTTCATCCAAGATTTTTATGAGGGCATCTCGGTCAATGGAATTGCATCTGAGGCTGAGGACTTTGATGTTCGGGAGGATCTGGACGAGGTTTTGGGCGAATAAGAGCTCGATGGGTCCCATTTCCTTAAGCTCTCTGAAGTTCTTGCAGTTCTTGGCGATCGATGAAAAGACAAAATTCGGGTGCGGGATGCTTGGCATTGTCAGTGATTCTAGGTTTTTGCAGAATCTTATGGCATTGAATAAACCCTTATTCTTCATCAGTCTGTACCAACCTGGTAGCACTAAGCGTCTCAAATCTGGACACCTGCAACAATTTTGAGTAGAGCAAATTATTGATCGCTTAATTCAACGGTAAAATATTATTTGGCTACGGTGCAATCAAATGAGATAGTGATGAGAAGTAAATACACCTTTTTGCGGTGTAAAGACCCATGTCAGCCGTCGGTAACAAGTTGTAATTGAAAATCAAGGTCCTTGTGTTTCTCTTGCTAAGACTCATGGAGAGTTTCAAGGTCCGAGTCAGCTGCTTATCAGAGCGGCTCTCCACGTACACATATGGCTCCTGCGGGATCTTGATGAAAGAAGATCTCATGTGAGATAGATCGAGCGTGTTCCAAAAAGTGAGATCGCAGCAAGCTGCACGCCATCTTCTACAGACATGAGCTAATACACAAGTCAACTCAAGGAAAGTAAAATAGTTCTTGAAAATCCTTACTAATATGTCGATGTCCCATCTCATGACTACTTTTCTTCGGTCTTCAGCCATTGTAGAAAGCTTTCAAGAGAGAGAGAGGGAAAGATTCTTGTTGAGAGTTGTTATAACATCTTCTGAACTCCTACACAAGCAGAAGAAAGTTAGCCGAGAACTGTGCATGTTTTGTGCATGTTTTCCTAACTAAGGAAGGCATCTTTATGTCAAAAGATATACATACAATCTGATCAATTAGCAAATCAAGGAATCTTAATGACGAAAATTCACAACCTACATGGGAATATAATAAGCAGATTAAAGTTTTTGGAATGTTCTACATACGACCGACCAAACAATCAACTAATGTATAAACACTTGTTCGGGGATTTCACAAGGCATCAAGTGAAACGAATCAAAATCTCAAACATATATAGACATCAGAAAGAGCGGTAGACTTACAAGTTACAACCCCACAATCCTTAAGACAACGTTAGGAAAAAAAAGAGTATTAAGGCATGCATACTTCGAACGATGACGAGGAGAAGAAGCTTGGAGGAATGAAAGGTAGTGATCGATTCTTATAAGAAAGGAACGTAACTTTTTAGTTTATATAGACATGAGATCTCATGACACTGGTCTGATTTTTCACACCTCTTTTGTTTTTAATTTTTCACCTCTTTTGTTTTAGTAACTAATAGCTATCAAGTCAATGAAAATGATTTCATCTTAATTATCACACGATATTTATTTGAACTTTCCAATCCAATTCAAACTTTCCAATTTAATTTTATATGTTTTTTTAGACTTTAAAAACTTAAAACCCGCCAAAATAGCTAACTGATAGAAATAAATTACGCACCTAAAATTTAAATTGACCAAAATTATAAAATATAGTAATGCCATTGATTTTATAAATTCTTAATTAATTGTTTACCCAAAACCATAAGATTAGTTTTTATTTTTTGATTTAAAAAAATTGAAATTTTAGTTTGACTAAAAATGATGTTATCTTAATTATAAACCTTACTTTCTAATCAAAATTTTTTTATGGTTTTTAGACTTTGACTAAATAAATTCGTCAAATAATTAACTGATTAAAAGTTAATTAATAGACATTTTTAAATTGATCAAATAATAAATTATGACTGTTTTGAATTTATAAATTCTAGATTTATTACCTAAAACATAAGATTAGCTTTTTTTACTTTGTAATTTAGATATTATTTTGTTGATAAAAACAATATTGATATTTATTAGTATAAATGTATGTTTTTGAAAATTAACTATTACATATATCATATTTCAGATAATTGATAAGTGATTTCTTTTTGGTGATGTCAACAAAAATAAAATAAAGGGTGGTCAAGTTTATAATACATTCTTTTGTTTGTTTTGTAAACTCAGAGAAACTTTTAGAGCATAAACATATTATTTGACTCTTAACCAGAATGAGACTGAGACTGGAAAGAACTGGAGCTAACACTTGAGCCACGGCCAGTGCTGAGCGTAAGGGCCTCCAAAGCCTTTTGAATCTCCATGTTCATTGCACTGTCAACGCTTCCCGAAGACAGTTTCTTGTGAGATTTCTGGAGATGAAGCTTTAGAGAACTGCTGCTTAGACCTGCGTTCTTACCACAAACCGGACACACTTTCATCGTAGGTTTCCTCTGTCTCCACTCCATTGACACCTTCCCGTGACATTTCTTGTCGAGGTTTAGTAAGATCCGCGCAAATCCATCGTTCGGTTGAGCTCGTCTATGAACTTTTCTCAGTTTGCTCCATGCTTCTAAAAGTGTCAGGTTCCTGTTTATTAATCCCACCCCAGTAAACAAGTGAGAAGAGGAATTAGAAATTTCTTATTGACTTTTTTTTTTTCTGATCTTGAATCGTGTTTTCAACAATTTTATTTGTCCCCAAGAACTTACTTTCGGAGCATTAAGTAAGCGAGCACTACGGTTGCGCTTCTACTCCGACCTTCGAAGCAATGAACTAAAATCTTGCCGCCTGTTTCTTCGCCGTGGTTGATGAAATCGAGAGCTTCTTGAAAGATGCTCTCGATCTTTGAGTCTTCGTCGTCGGTTATCTGGTCAAAGGGAAGACACAAGAAGAGAAGGCTCATCTTTATAGATGCATTTTTTTTAACCAATTCCCTTTAACACGCCTTTGGTAAATATAATCAAGAGAGAAATAAGAAAGGTTCACTTACTGAGAAATTTTTGTACTCGAAGAGATCGGGATATTGAGTATCCGATTGCCCGATTTCATTTGCGCACAAGCATAGAATATGAGTTATACCTAAATGCTGAAGAGTGTACACGGACCTTGCAGCCAATCCTCCTCCGATAAAAAGATTATCTTGGATCATTGATGGTTTCTCTGTATTAGCAGCTTTGCAAATCAATGATATCCTCTCAAGAATATGCTCAAGTCTAACCTGTTATGATGGCAAATGCAAGCAAGAGATAATGATTGGGTTTAGTTGCCAAACAAAGTTTATGAACAGAAGAAAAAAATACTCATAATACCTTTAGCTCGTAAGCATCGATGCAACTGTTATTATCACTGCCCTCAAAAAACCCAGTATTGAAACCGTTCTCTTGGCAGAGTTTCATGACTTCATTCCGCAGTGTTTCATTCCACTGGTCTAGTTCTTTATTAGACTCGGCATCAATCTGGACGCACCATGAAAAAAGTCAAATTCAAGGAAGATAAATTGGCTTAGGATTTCCATCCAAAAATGCATGCTTTGTATAATATATAAAATCTGAACATAATTCTCTGGTTAGAACAAGGTGATCAAAGCGTGAAGCGGCAAACCTTTGCAAATTTATGGAAGTCGCGGAGCTTTGCAGCCAAACGCTGACTGCTAAGAGATTCTCCACCTCTACTGTATCTCCCGTGCCAACTTTCCCGTGACTTAGGCGAAGAGGCATCTGAGCCTTCCTTGTTATCAGAATTTGGTGTCCTTAGAACTGATTTGTGCATATCTGACTCACTGTGCTCAGAGCTGTTATCATTTTGCACCCGATCTTTTGAGGGAGATGGATAATGATTCACCTCATGACCAAGAGTTTGTGATGGCGATTCAGGAACAGCAAAGTCTTCTCTGTCAAAATCTGCACACATTGTTTTGTCCATCATAGTAAAAAATGCACGTAGCAACCCATCTAGTTTCTGATGAAGGGTAACGAGGAATATGTGGAACTCTTGCAAATCCCTGAGACCAGCACGAAAACCATTTCGAAACTCACGTACAACTGGCGTAACTACGGTCGATCGAACAATACATGTTTCTTCACCATCTGCTGCCTGGGGATATCCTAAACTTCCTTCTGTTATTTCATGTAACAAATTCGAAGAATATTGGCTACTATTGAGAAGCAGCTCAATTAATCTTGGATAAATTTCTTGGTCACTTGCCCGTTTTCCAGCAGGAGGCCGCCGTGGAACACCCGAGTCTATGGTAACAATGTGAAAATCAGGAGCTACTGATCTGTCAGACATTGGACTCATAAAACCAGTGTCGTAGGATTTAGGAGACTCCGTTATATCAGAAAAGTCAGATGACTGTGAGACCAACCTCTGATCACTGACACTCAATCTGGACCTGCTATCTACCGAAGAAGCTCTTCTTTCCTTTTGAATGGACCTGTAGTCTCTTGGATGGTACCGTTTGATGGCGGAATCAAAAGCTTCTTCAAATGAGCATTCTAGATGTTTTGCTGATGACACAATCCTGTCGGTCAATAGCAGATTTGCCGGGTTGCCACGCCATCTCAGCTGACGACAAGGTAACCTGTCTTCGTTCCTAATTACAAGATCTAACAGCAAGATTCTCCCTAACGCTGCAGCAGCTCTCTCTGCTTTTTCTTCAGTTTCGAAACTACTCACGCTCTCCAGCAATGGACATCCATGAACATAGCTGCCATCACAAAATTGAGAATGCAGTTGCTCAGAGGAGGGATTTTTTACAAACTTCACATATTATCCATTTAGGAAAAGTGTGGGATAAGGTCAATGCCTATATTATTCATTTAGGCAAAGACAAATGTCTGTTCAACTATATCTATACTAAGACTGAATTCCAGTTTTAGGCCAGACTAGCTATCCGTTCAACTATTGTCTTTAAATTTTGTCCAATAAAATGATTCCACCTCATAATTTTATTCTACATATATGTTATCTTATCATACATTAGAAGTATCTAATTCAATAAAATTTTGAAAATTTCCTAAACATACTAAGGGAAATTAAATGGTATATTTAAAATATATAATTTCTTAGTTTTAAAAATCCGGCATGGTTGGGTTTAAAAATCCTGAAAGAAAACGATGAAAAAACTGTCAACTGATGTTGCTGGTCGAAGTCCAAAATGGAGAGTTAAATATAAAGAATAAAAAGATGAATCTTGAGCTTTCACCTCATAAGAAGAAGACAACGACTGAGCTCAAGGGCTTCCAAAAGTTCTGAGCAAGTCACTTCACCAACCTCATCTCCCTCCGAAGTCGCTTTAGCTTGTGCGTTCTCAGTTGCTTCTTTGATCAGTGTCCACTCAGGATTACAGCTATGAATTACTCTAGCCTGTCGCATTATTGACGAAAAGTTGGTAAAGAAAACGAAAGAAAGTGAAATAAGCGAACCAATACTATAATTTTCCAAGTAGAGCAAAGAAAAGAAGCACCTGCGGAATCTGAACCCCTAGCCACTTGGCAAACTCATAACCTAGACGTTCTGATTGCGTGGCCATCCTCGATGATGAAAATTTTATAACTGCTGCTGCTTCTTCCTTTGGAGAAACATCTTCAGAGCTGGAATGATTGAAGAGGGCAAAGAAAACAACTCCCCCAGAATTCACAGTAACCTGTCCACATATAATGCAAAGAGCTCAGAAAACAAACAATGTCAAAAGTAGAAGGAAGAAGAAGATCTGGTTGATGGAAGCATTTTATCAATCTTCGAATCCAAGATCGTATAAATGATAAATACCTCAAGCGGTTTGCACTGGTCCTCTTCAGAATGATCAGTGCTGCTACTATGTTCAGTATGGTGAAGTGAAGATAGCATGTTCCATGAAAAAGAGCTCGACTCGATATCCACAATAGAAGCTTTGCCAAGCCTTTCCCACAAACTAATCTCTGAAGTCTGCTTGCTTGGTGGAGTTTTTGGATCAGCATTCCTCTCCCCTGCACTGGATAAGACTTCTGTTAATAACCTCCATAACATACAAAACACTGTAACACAGGGTAGTTCAACTTTTATGTCCAAATCGAAAACCAAAAGAGACTAATCTCCTAATTTGGAAAAACATATCAGATTTGTAATTCCATTTTCTCCCCACACTGTACTTCGTGCAACAAACCAATTAGGCAATTGCTAAGAAATTAACTTTTTGTGTGTGTGTGTGTGTGTGTGAATAAGCACAAAAATAGAAAGGAAGCAGAAGAACAAAAGTGGAATGAGAGATAAAAAAGTGGTAACCTAGCAACCATATCATCGAACCGGTGAAGACGGTGAGGGAAGCCAGAGGATGCGTAAGTAGCACTCCGTTTACGAACTAAATCCAACCATTGTGTAAACCGATAAGCTGGACCAGCTGCTATGTCTCCTAACATGTACAAAACCTGCAAGATTTTCCCAATTACTTTTTATAAGCCAAAACAAGTACGCCAACGAGAGACCTTTAAAGCTACGAATCCAAGGATCGGAGAGGAATTTACACGAGAAGTGACGGTGAGAGGAAGAGGAGATTCGTGCTCGTCGTGGCCAATGTCGAGATCTTTGTCTTCGTCTTTCTCCTGCGACTGCGTCATCATATCAGATCCCAAAATCAGAGAGAGAAAAGTAAAATCGAAATCTGGCTGTGCAAAGAGACAGAGCTAGATAGAAACTGTGGGTGTAATGATGGTGGCAAAAGGTAGGGGTGATGATGATAGATTAGTAACTTTAGGGGCATGATAGAAATGGAGGAAAAAACTTAGGGGAAATAAGGATTTACCTGACAAAATGTTTGGTCTCGCCTCTTCTCAGCTTCCGCCATTGGAAAAAAAAGCTTCTTCTGACAATTTCTTTTTAATTTTGGAAATGTCCTTTTCTTCAAATGTCAGCTTTGCCTTCTGTGCGAGGAAGTCGCAAGCTCTAATATACAGAGAGAAGATGGCTATTTAAAAATTCAAAATTGTAAGAAAGATCCTGATCTCTTCTATTATTTTGCAGATTAAACACCAATGTAATGAAAATTTAATTAGTGCTTAATTTTTTTATGAATAAACCTTTTTTATTTTTGGTGCTCTGTGTTGAATAATTCAGCTAAATTCAGTGTATAAATTGAAAATTTTCAATTAACTAAAAGGATTATTAACTTCTTTTTTTGTTTTCCAATTATTTGTAGAAGTTATGGCAAAAAAAAATGAAAATTAATAACCAAAAAAAAAATGAAAATTAAGTAAGAAACGTTTAGGGTTTTCTTCTCCCTTAAAGTCTGAGACTCGGCCTCTGAATTCGCCAAATTGAATTTCGTTTTCGTCTCCGAAAAACTAATCTCGAGGTAAAATGAATCTGGTCTTCCCCAAAGCTTGTATATAAGAATTTTGTTTTTCAGGGATTCATATAAATCTGGTCTTCGTTTGTGTGTGTTTCCTGGGTGATTAGATGAGTAAACGAAAACGACCGGAGCCGAAATCATCATCATCGATGGGAGGTATAAACGAAGACGAGAAGAAGCTGCTCACTCTTATTAGGAGCAAAGAAGGTATGGGCGCAACTACATTCGAAATGAAAGTAGGGACAAGCATCCAGCCCACTCTGATCACTCGAGCAATCGCTTCTCTCAAGAGGAATCATCTCATCAAAGAGGTTCCAAACATGAACAACAAAGGGATCAAACATTTCTTGGGAGTTGAGTTCGAGCCTTGTAAGGAGCTTACAGGTGGGGATTGGTACATTGATGGAGCTCTTGACGTGGACAAAATCGAAGGTCTTAAAGAGATCTGTGTCAAGATACTGGAGAGGCATAAGAACAGAGTCGTTACTCTTGATGTTATATGTTCGTATTTCGAAAAGGTTATGGATAAGGACAAGTTGACCAAAGAGCAGACCAAGGAGATACTCAAGAACCTGGTTTTGGATAATGTCATCATGGAGGTGAAGAGCAGTGGGCTTAGCGAGTTTTCCTCCACCAGAATCGGAGAAGTTTGCTACAAACTTACCGGGAAAAAATCCGGTGGCGGCGAAGCAAGAGCTGGAGCTTTTGCTTCGGTTCCTTGCGGGGTTTGTCCACATGTAGCGCTTTGTTCACCTGGCGGAGTTATCTCCCCGACAACATGTGTTTATTTCCAGAAATGGCTAGACTTTTAGCTGCTTCTTTTCTCTATTTCTTTTTGGGTTTCAAGTCTAGATTCAGACTTAAGATTCTGTTTACAATAATACTTTAAAAGATGTTTTGTTTCCTTCCAAGTTATGTTATACAAAACAGAATGCTATTGATAATACATAACTCAGGGGTCCAGGTTGTTGTGATTTGAGAGAGTAGAGGTAGGAGAAGAAGATGGAAGAGGCTGATTGGTGTCTTTGCGACAAGCTTCCCATAATTGTTGCTCTATTCCTAGTTTCCTTAGCTCTAACAAACCTCGCTCCACTGTCAAAAGAATAAGCTTAGCCTAGACTTAATGTGTGTTATTAGAATCAGAGAAAGAAAAAGTAGGTTAATACCATCAACAGCATCGTGAGAAGTTGGAGTTTTTCCTCCACTACGGCTGATCCAAAACTGGAGACGTTCATCAGCAATGTCTTCTTCCACACCGTGCAACGTGGCTCTTCCCCAGAAGTACATCAGCCATGCCTGCATATGTATAACAGTACGAGTTTAACCAAACCACAGATGATTGTTTTGATTAGAAAAGACTGATACGTTTTATAAAGAGACACATCAATAATATCTTTCACAGTTTGTTGTTAATGTCCGCAATCTTGGTGTTCGGATCTCTAGCTAAAGTCAAAAATGTAGTCATGAATTATATGGGTATAAAGAAACCACCTGCTTGAAGGCCACATCTTCTTGTTCCCCTTCTTTTAGTTCTGCATTTGAGAAATGTGATAACATGGTAACAAGTTCATGATTATGCAGATATGATATTATGCGCTAGGCGAAAGGCCAAAACACTGTCAGATAAGAACCAGCCAAGAGTTTTCTCGAGTTCTTTTATTTATTTTTAATCAATCACTAATGAACATCATCAAGATGCACTGTGTCAAACAGACACTGACAACCCCGAAAAGTTTTCTGGTGGATGATAAAACCTTCAACAACCCATAAGGCCATTGAACCCTAAAGATTAGGGAGACGTCTTCTTACCGTATGCCTCTACAAATCTGACTTCTCCATTCCCTTTGGAATCTGTAAGAAGGGAGAAAACAAAATTTATTGCACAAGTCGGGAAACAGACAGATCATAAACAGAAAAAAAAACAGTTTGTATCATTCAATGTGCCGCGTTTCTAAGGTCAGGAAGCAACTTAAAGTTAAGAGTATCTCAACAGAGAGGACTATCAACCGTTAGACATTCTAGTAAGAACAGACTATATTTTGACACTGTTTACTATAGGCTGCAAAATATTTGCATACCTTGACGAATTAAACTCGGTGTTCTCTTCTGAGCGAATGCAAGCATAACTGCATCCTCAACCTAAATTTCATTGTGATATAAGAACTTTAAAATGTACGTGGATATCGCAAAGGGAACCTCATGATTATAAATGAAGTTATCTAGGTGACATCACCTAAACACACCTTTAAGGATGCTAGCTCTCTCAAACCCATCTCAACTGAAAGCATACTTTCGATATTTCCTTCTCCAGTTAGGTCACTTAGAAATCTATCAGTTTTGCTCTGATCACTCCCACCTGATCCATTCCAAAGATTTGGTAAACAAAGATGATGCAAGCAACAGTATCAGGGAAACCCCGGCCATTTAAGAAGCATAGTAAATGTTTAGACTAACCTTGATCCCCAGACAACTCTTTGGCCTTTTGTGCTGCGGATATGACCAGCTCAAATGGAAGAGGAGCCAAAGCCGACCAGGTTTCATGTCTGGATGGTGCTATATCAGCACATATTCCTACGGAAGCAAACAGAAAGAAAGTTTTAAAAATTTTAATGAGAACTTTCTCGCCACAACTATGAGCCTTTGACTGATATTAGAGAAAGATAAGTGTATCATGAACGCACATTGTCAAGTTCAGAAGTAAACATCACGAATTATGCTGCTACAAAATGGATGCATCACTTACCATGCTGCACTGCCAAACCCCAATACCGGGCAAGCCAGCATCTCTTCAAGGCTACTTCCTCCTAGGTGATCGTTTTTTTTCTTTCATACAATCAGAAATCGTTAAACGTGAATGATAATGACACTTGGGATTTCCAAACATACCATTTCGTCTTGTGTTAAAACCGTTCTTTGTGTCGTTGTACGAAGAGCCTTTACTTCTGACTCTGCTTCTTGAAGCCGTTCCACAGCTGTTGCAGCCTCATCCTTCAGGATCTGAACATAAAGAGGTGATTTCATCATGAAGATCACAATAGCACACATATTATGAAACCACAGTAACAGTATGCCTTACCTGAAGTTCTGAACGGAGGGAAACAACTTCATCCTTTTTCCCATCTTTTTTATCTTTAGCAGCCTTAAGAGCAGCCTGTAGCAGGTACCATTATGCCAGCCATTCAGTCTATAATCTAGATAGTTAGGCTTCAAAAAAATGTCTATCTTTGACTTAATTTTCGGATCAGAATAGTAGAATATGTGAGCTCGGCCATAGAAAAGAGAAAAGATATTCTATTCCTCTACACACTAACCTCTCTTTGGCGCAATGCCGCTTCCTTCCTGAAGAGAAACACAATTCATCATGAGCCATACAAATAACTATTGACGTATCTTCTAAAGAAGAGAAAGATATGGAAAAAGAATAAGAGTTCACAGGCTCACACCTACTTAACAATTTGGCCTCCAGGGACACTCCTTCTCCAAGGGAAGCAACCTTTTGCGAAAAAAAAACAAACAAAAAAAAAAATTCTTTCAAAAGATGTCACCTACATACATGTCATTCCAAGTAAAATTTCTTGAATGTATGCAGATTCCATGAAATCTAATTTTCCTAGACAAACAAAATTTCATCGCATCTGCATGTATATATGTCCTCAAAAACTGTCTGCATCTTCACTTGGGTTGTCACTAAATCCTATAATACTAATTCCAGAGTATAACTTCATTGCATTTGAATACATGTTTGGTCAGGTGTCAGAAACTTAAATAATGATATGTAAATTCATTTTCAGAATACGCATACTTAAAGATGCAGAATAAAGATACGAGACAAAAGGCTGTTTCAATGAAAGATGGTTGACTTGTTTTCAATGGCTATTGCCAATAGTAACGAAATGGATGTGAGGAGGTTGAGAATTTGTTTTCTCTCAAAAAGCGAAAGAACAAGTTCAGCAAAGATGGAACAACTAGATCAAAAACCTGTTTCTCCAGCTCCCTAGCCCTGGCTTCTGCTGCCTCACGTTTCTCTTCTGCACAGTGAAGCTGTAATCCAGAACAATTGTTATGAATGACAGAGGAGTATTTATGAAAACAACAAAAAAAAATTCCAGTGACAAGGCATCGAACCTTCTCCAATACTATCTCATTCTCCTCTTGTAGCATATCCACCTGCAATTAACATAGAGTCGGAATCTAGTGACATTTTTCCTTTTAAAATTTAACTTCAGTCTGTATATACAAAGCTAAACTTGACCAGATAACTCATCCAACGGTTAATAGGAAATGTCGACATACTTCATCACGAAGAGCAGAAGCTTCCCGCTGATACCCCTTATCTCTCGAATTTACAAGCGGTACATGATCACCAAAGTACCTGAAAACGTTAAAACTTGTGGAATCAGGCAAAGTTGAGGAAAAAACAAAGTAAAAATCTTCTTCACCTTTGATCCCTGTCCTTAAACGGAGGATCAAGCGGAGGTTTCAAGGAGGCCTTAGGGGGCATCCAATTCGGAGATGCATTCGGAGTAGTGATTCTACCAAACGTAGATGGCCTTCCCGCCGACGAAGAACGCACTGAAGTCACTTGCTCAGTGAGGTTTCTGCCTATCTAATTAAATCATGGAAAGAAAATTAAAAAAAAAAACAAACGAAAAAATGAGAAAAACCCAGAAGCCAAAGCTCAATCTCATTAATCAAATGAAGCTAATTTACGAGTAAGCCCCAACTTAAATCACGGAATTTTTTTACCGCAGGCGATTGCGATCGATTTCGCCGAGAGAAGGAAACCGCCGGTAAGTTACTGGTGCCATTGATGGTAGAGGAAGGAGTAGCGAATTTGAAATCGTGATCTTCATCGTCATCATCGTCGTCCTCATTTTCCTTGCTCTGTAAGGCCATGACCTTCGCTAGTCGTTCAGCCGCCGCCTTAGTGGCTACATTCTGGGTCCGCTTGACGGTGGAGAAACCGCCAACACCAACGAGATGTTGTTTCCGGTGAGCGGGAGACATCGACGGCGACCTCGATTCCGTATTGTTAGATGATCGGCTCCATTGGTGCCCGTACACTGGGCTCCCCGCTCTTCTGAGATCCATCGATAGACTATTAAGCAGATGCAAATTCGTTCGCAGTATCAAGCAATCACAGAGGAGTTTGAATAGTGGGAGAGAAGATTTTCTCGAGAAAAGAAGAAAAACAAAAGAAAAAAAAAAGAGAAAGAAAGTGAATTCTGCGGAGATTTGGCAAGCAGTTTAAAAAGTGTGAGGTTTTTGGTAAACGACGCCGTTTATTGCGGAGGAGAACACATTGAGATTCACCGGAGGAAAATATGGGACCCAGTAGTCAACTTTGCAGATGGATTATTGTTCTGACGTAGTATAATTTATTTCTATAAATTTAAATTCAAAGCCAAGTCAATAATATAAAAAGTAAATCGTTGACAAACAGAGTAATATGATAATTATAAGAAATTAATAGCTGGCAAATCTCTTTTCGTTCCCTTAAGTTTACGCAAATGAAGAAATATGTTGCATATACAACTAGACGTCTTCTAATGTACGTCATTTTTAATTAGTCTACGATAAATGATGCTCTGTTTTTATAAGAAAAAATTACTTAAAATTATGGATTTCATGGGTAACGTTTAATCTCTTACAATAATCTTTTCCGACAACCTACGACATACCAACGAAAACAACTCTTGAATCGAGAGTTGACATTTTCTTACCGTTACAAAGTCTAATTAACTCCGCACGCGCCAAAAAAAGAAGAAGAAGATTTCAAGTGAAAGAAACAGATTCCTTGTGTCCCAAGCTTTAGGGGCTCGAAGATAAGGTTTTACCATTCTTGAATTAGGTTTAGCGGGAAAACAGTGACGTCGAAGACAACCCTCGCAAACACATGCCGAATTTCCTGCTGAATATAACGCAAGCAGGATACTCAATCTTGCTTCCCTGCTTTGCTTCAGATCTCATTTCCGTCTCTTCTTTCACACACTGGAAAGATTCTGCCTGCTCTAAGGTACAATTGCAATGGAACAAACACCATGACAACTATATCAACAGATTCTGAGCAAACAAAAGATTTAGGGCATCAATATCACAAACCTTAATTTATTGTGATATTTCTTTTGAGATTTTTGTAAAGGTCTTTTTATTACCAAATTTGTATACGGTGCTTGAGGGTAAGCTGCCACAGCTTTTGAAATAAAATACCCATCAGTCATCTAGTTTAAGACATCTTTCAGTAGAGTTTCTAGTAATTTCAAGCCCAAAAAGAAACGTATGAGCTGAACCTAAATCCTTTATCTTGAAATTTTGATGAAGAATAGTCTTGGGGGCTTGAACTGCATTTTCATCATCCTACCAAAAGGGCAATAAAAGGGTATTGAAAAAAACCATCATTCAACAAAACATATGAGAAGCAGTCGTGAAGCTTGTTTTAGTCATAGATTTGCGGAGACGACATCATATTCCAAAATTTATTCAGACCTGGTGTATAACCCAATTGCAAACTCATATAAATCTCTCCATCCATATGACTATGAAATAAAGCAATAGTGACATGACATCCATATGTGTTAGAGTCCATCCATGAGATGAAGCAATAATATTAACATTAGCTTGACACTAGCTAATTTTGCCATAGTGGAGGAAGTACTATCAAAATCCACTCCTTGTTGAGTAAATCCTTGTGTTACTAGCTTTGCCTTGTGTCTCTCTATAGTGTCATCTGAGTTGTATTCAATGGTGTAAACCCATGTACAACCTACAACGTTCTTATGGGGTGGCAAAGACTCAATATCACATGTTCTGCTAATGGCCTAGAAACAAGCAATATAGAATCAATGAACAAAGAATCGGTCGTAGTATGAGCACTTGAGCAGGATCATCTTTGAAAGGGAAAACAGATTCATCAAATATTAACATTCCTTAATATAATCATTTCACGAGATTCCAAATTTTAAAAAGTTTGTAACAAAAAAAAAAATGGTAACATTTATATATAGTCCAAAGGATAGTCCATGAAAAAAACACACATGTTGAAGAACGAACGTTGATTGGCTTGTAATAAAAAAGTAAAGGAGCAGTAAATTTCAAGAGATAGTAGTATCTTCACAAACACGTGTCCACTATCGAACATCTCTTCCTCTCTTTACTCTCTCTCTTCGTCTTTCCTTCTGAGGACGATTCTTTCTCTCTCTCACACATCCAAATTTCTCCAGATAAACCTAATCAAAAGGGCAACGAGCAAATCCCTCTTTTTTCTTCTTCTTCTTCTTCTTCTCTAATCTGCGCATGTTAAGTAGGATATGGTTTCAGAGTGAGAAAGTGAGATAAACTTCCCTCCTTTTAACTCTCTGTCTATCTGGCCATGGCCGAGTTGCAGCAGTTAGTGGAAGGCCACCAGACTAACGGTGGTTTTATCCCGCCGGCGATAACCCTCACCGAAGCGCCGGAAACATCCGCCGCAGTTTCAGCCGGCGTATCCGTCGGATCGAAACGATTGAGAAGGCCGAGCGTTCGGTTAGGAGACATCGGCGGCGACCAGTACCAACACATGGCGGCGTACGATTCGCACGTGCGGCGGCCGAAATGGAGGCCGCCGGGTAACAGAAAAGAGTCGAATCAGAGCGGGAAGTCTTCATCGAGGACTCGAACCCTAACGAATTTGAGCTCCTCCACCGGAACCCTAGATGAAGATCCGATTGCGGTCGGGACTTGGCGGGTCAACAAATGGGTCAAATCATCTGGCGGGGAGACGACAACGACAGCGACAGCGAAGCGAGTCCGGTCAAATTGGGCGACAAAAATGGAAGAACACAGAGACGGATTAGAGCAGGGAGATGACAAATTCAGTGGAGGAGAAGGGGAAGAAGAAGATGAAGAAGAAGATGAAGAAGAGTTGGAAGAGGGGTTTCGCGATTTCAGCAGAGAAGATTCAGAGAGTCCGATGAAAGAACAGACGCAGGAGAATCGGAACGAGAGAGAAGTGTTTGAGAATAGGAGAAGGTACGAGAACAGAGAGGTTGAGATGTCAGGAGATTGGCAAAGTGGAGGAAGAGGAAGAGAAGGAGTGAAAATATGGCTACAGGAATTAGGTTTAGGGAGGTATTGGCCAATGTTTGAGATGCATGAAGTTGATGAGGAAGTGTTGCCATTGTTGACATTGGAGGATCTCAAGGATATGGGGATCAATGCTGTTGGATCCAGAAGGAAGATGTATTGTGCAATACAGAAGCTCGGTAGAGAGTTCTCGTGAAGACCAGAGTTTTTTGATCGAGGTTTATTTAACCAAAGAGCACTTTTGAGTGGTGTTTGTTTTGTTTTTGTCATTGCAATGTAACTGCAATGTCTGAAGCTTTTTCTCTCTTTGTATCTTCTGATGTTCTGTTTTAATGTAGCAAATAGCTATATTAGTGTTAGTAGTTGTTCTAGTATTAGAGGAAGAAGAAGCAAGATTTGCCCATTGTGATTGAACCTTCTGGCTTTTTATTGGAAGCTATTGACCATTAATATCAACCATAGTTTTCGTTCGGAGTAATATCCCTCATAGGTATTTTTTAATAAGATTACTATACAATTGGACTATTGGCAAATCCCCCCCAAACACAAACATGAATATGAATCACATAGATGATAGATGCAGTAGTTGGATTTTACTATGAGAGGAAACGGCTTGATCCCTGAGAAATCAGATTTGTGTGTAACGCCTCAAATGAGAGAGATATGGAGAGAAGTTAACACTTGACACTGCATTTGCTTCCGTTTTCCTGGAGGGAACTCTTATTTCATTGCATCATTCTTCATTCCAGCTTGGTATCATTTTTCGTCTCTTCTATCTTCTTCGGCTCTGCCGGAAAATATTTGATTCCACTAAGGTCACCTACTTTGCTTATAACCTGTGCTACACAAAGACGACGAGACTGATTCAAACCTTGTCTTCCACTCCGAGCTTTATCAAAGGCGTTTTTTTTCTTTCTATTTTTCAGACCAAAAAAGTAAGATTGTTCATAGGCTAACACTTAACCTGATATAGTTTTTCACTGGAGATGGCAGGTATAAAAACGAAAGTGAATAGACTGCAAGATTTTTACCTTGAGGGCTCTTATAAGATCTTCTCTTGAATGAGATGCGGATATGCAAATACGTGCCCTAGCCAGCAGTAGAGGTGTAGCTGGGAAACCAACAACCACCACTGCCACCTGTTCAGAAGATTCACATTTGTAATTGTTGTTGTCATGCGTTCTCAAACGATTATTGGAATTGAATAAATACAAACTTACTTTTTGTCGCAGACATTCCCTTGAGAAAGATGGGATTTTTGCTGGGTTGTAAAGCATTATTGGCATGACTGGGGAATCATTATCTCCAAGTACCTCGAATCCCATCTTCTGCAGCTCAGCCCGGAAAAAGTTGCTGTTCTCTCGTATTCTTGCTAGCTTTTGTGCCCCTGTCCAGTATTTGAGAAGAGTGGGAGTTTTTTTGGGTTATGACTTATTATGAGTCACAAACAGACTAGATAGATTCTGCTCAGTGATCAGAAAAAGGTCAACTAATAGAGTTAGAATACCTCGGTTTGAACCGTCCTCTCCAAGAATAACCTTAATGGCAGATATGATTTGTTGTGCGGAAGGAGTTGGTATGGATGTAGCGTAAAGGTGAGCTGGACATTGATGCTTCAAATATTGGATGAGCTCCTAAAGGAGTTGAACATAAGATAATAATAAATTGATTAGCATTTTTTGATGAATTTGATAAGTGTACAACTCCCCTACGCATCACATGGTATGTGGTATAGATACCAAAGGGCCAAGGCCTTAGTGTTAGCTATATACCTAAGCATCACATGGTATGTTTGAATTTGATTAGCCAGAGTTTGTTTTGACTTCTGAGTGAAGGTTACGGCTATCTTATTGCTTCTTAAGTTAGCTAAAAAGTCAGAATTTTGATTTTAGCAAATCAAGCTTAGACCGCTGAAGATTTGCAAATAGAAGATCAATATGTGAAAACAACTTTAAGATGCCCTAACACTTGCTAACCTTAGATCCAGCAATATAGCCACCACAAGACCCAAAAGATTTAGTGAAGGTTCCCATCATTACATCCACGTCAGCTGTGTCAACTCCCAGGAGTTCACAAATACCCTTTCCTGTTTTACCAATTGCCCCAATGCTGTGAGCTTCATCCAAGTAAACGTATGCCTGGAACGAGGTTAGGATATAAGTTGATCATGAATCCAAAAACTCCAAACGGGTTTAGAAAATTTGATGCTGCAAAGGATAATTACTTTTATTAGGGCGTCTTTGCACACACAGAATGGTTTCAGTGGAAAAAATCTCAACGAATGATTCTGGATAGTTGCCTCACCTTATATTTCTTGCAAATCGCAACAATTTCGGGCAGTTAACAAATCTCCCCTTCCATGCTGTAAATACCTTCAACAACAACAATAATTTTCTTCCATGGTCGATGTGTCCTAGGTTGTCCTTCTGCAATTTGTTCTCTCAAAACACGTTCCAAATGCGAAGGTGCTAAGTAACACATTCCTCAAGTTCAGCAAGCACAGACGTAGTTCCTGATGGCAAAAACCAAATTTTTCAGGAAGCAAATCCAAAACAAAACAAAAATGTATTAGACTCTATAGGCAAAGAAACTGTACCTGCATCAACACGAGAGCTGCATGTACTTGCTGAAAATTTCTTCAACGAGTCAATAACACGAGGCGTGCAATATTCATCAAAGGAACCAAACCCAAGATAATTGTAGGAGCCCAAATTGAGGCACCTGGTAGTCTTTATTGTTCGCCTGCACAGAAACTCACTTGTCAAACTTATTCTAAACTTGGAATGTTGATGCAAAAGCTTAGGAAGACAGGACTCACTTTAGCGTCTTGTTGTTATCGTTAGAGTAACGCTCGACCACATCAAACCAGGCATCAGGTGCACTCGAAATGGGTCGTTCAAAACAATCCTTCACGGAGAGAAACATTAAGCATCATCAATCAGTAAACTTGGAGCGAAGATAGCCAATAATTTCAAATCCAATTTTGTTCTTTTTACCTGAATCCGATGATACAATCGCCTGATATAGAAATCCTCATGCCCCAGACAGATTGGCGCGTATCCCTATAGAGATAAGAACTTTCAGGTCGGAAATTAGGAGCTCGTTACATGTACGTACATTGTATATGAAAGATCCAGAAACAGACCTGGAGATTGCTAACGAGCCACCAATCGATGAAACGACGGACGAAATCACGGAGCTGGCCAAAGGCAAAGAGCAATCCGTAGCTGAAGTAGGTGGACACAGCGGTTAGGTATGGGATCGTTATCATTTTGTCTTTTCAAGTCGCCGCCTTCGTCTTCTTCCCCGGTTAATCAATTGCTCTTTCTCTCCTCTCTCCCTCTCCGTTTAACCGGAAACGAATCCAGCGAAGAGATCTGGAGAATTTTCGACTGTCAGAAATTCGAGAGCTGAGAGAAGAGAAATTTGAATTGGAATCTCTTCCCCTCCGCGAAGGGATCGGATCATACTAAAACTATAAAACCATTTTTTGTTTTTTTTAAGAAAAAAGAAAATTCTAAAAACCAAATACGAGCTTTCTCTGTTGAGCGACAGGCTAATAAGCCATAATCTTGTTAAAAAAAAAGGCTCAAAAACCATAACTCTAATAAAGAATTTCATTTTGATTTTCTTTTAATAAGAAAAAACGTGGAAAAATCTTGACTCTCCTTATCTATCTCTTTATTTATAATAAAACCAGGATCATATCCACCCAATTTCAGACCCATCCACTAACCTGTTTTATTTTTTTAATTATTAATTATCTAAATTTTTTTTTCTTCAATAATTTCTTTTAATTCTTTTAATTCTTTTTCTTTAATTATTCTTTTTCTTTCTTACTCGTCTTCATCATCGTCAAACACAACGATGGATTTTAAAAATCACCAAAATCAAATCTTCATCACTCAAATTTTGCCTCCTCATCTTCTGCAATCAGTTTTTTTATCTTTATCTCCTCCCCCCATCACCATTGTTGAAGCTTCAAAACCTAATTAGGTTTTTATTTGAAAATTTAGGAATTTCATAATTTAGAGATTGGATTTGCCAAAATTACTTGTTTGGTATACAATTCGGGTTGGTAACTCAATTTATGTGACGATTAGGTCTTTGCATTGTTGAATCATAGTGATTCTTAGGTAGATTGGAATTAAAATCCGAGTTCATCACCAAATCTGCAGAGAAGGACAACTGGTACGAATGGTACAACTAAGAGATAAGAGGACAACTAGCACAACTGGTACAACTATGAGATAGAGGACAACTGGTACAATTAGGTATAACTAAGACAATTTAAATAATTACTGATTAAAAATTCTTTGATTATAATTGCAAATCGGGTTGTAACCCAGTTTTATATGACGATTAGGTATTTGCATGAAAAATTTCATAAATATAGTCGTTGAATCGTAGTAATTCTTAGATAAATTATAATTAAACCTGAGTTCATCACCAAATTTCCAGAGAACAACTGGTACAAATGGTACAACTAAGAGATAAGAAGACAATTAGTACAACTGGTACAACTAGAACAACTACGAGATAGAGGACACCTAGTAAAAATGGATATACCTAAGACAACTTGAATAATTTTTAATTGAGATTTTTTTTTTATTATATTTTCAAGGGAGAATGAGCATCAGCCACACAAGCAATTCAATAGATTTTATATCATTTAATACTTCATATTTCGAGCAGATAACTTATTCGGTATTAGTCGATAAGATATTGTATGTAAGAAGATTGCGATATATAAAACTAAACAGTTTTGGAATAGATAATTTATATGAAGAATGAATTGCACATATAAATGAAACTAGGTGGAGTATTTTTGATAATAAACAAGAATTATTTGTCTTACTGCCGAATTAAACAAAAAAAAAACAAAAATGTGGTTTCTATTCTCAAAAAAACATCGTCGAAAGACAAAAACAGATAATAAATTAGATAAGTATTTCAGGGCAAAAGTAGCATGGAAACTTAATTTGTGTATGTTTTCAGGTTTATTTTATCCGAAGAGATTTTATTTTAGCTAAGAAAATTATATTTTAGCCAGTGAATTTTTATTTTGGATAGCCACATTATTCATTTTAGCAGAGAAAAATTTCCCAAATAGAGATAAATAAGGTACAGTTAGACACATATATACAATTATCTGTAACTCCTTAATTTAAAAACAAGGTACTGCTGAATGAATGATTCAACTTATTTCGGCCTTAGAGTGTACATGAATATTTTGGAGTTATTTGTATTTTGAATTTTTTGGATTTCTTTGAATTCTTACATTACTATTTGTTTTGGAGTTATTGTATTTTGGATTTCTTTAATTTCTTGCATTGCTATTTATTTTGGAGTTAGGTGCAATTACGTAATGAGTTTTTCCAGGGTAACTAGGTGCAACTAGGTACAATTACGTTATGAATTTTTCCAGGGCAACTAAGTGCAACTAGGTACAATTACGTTATGAATTTCTCCAGGGCAACTAGGTGCAACTCGGGACAACTATATTTTAATTGTAGTGTTAAAAAATAAATTCTTAAAATTATTTACTTAAAAACAATACAACTCATACCTTAAAAACTGTTTTTTTCACATTTATACTAGAAAGAATAAAATCAAACTTTGTTTTGTTCAAAGAACCAAATATTTTTGGTTTCACTTGAAATAAGCCATTATGTTATAAGAAAGTCTTTGACAATGTTATCCATCTTATGCAAGCGTCTATGCAAAAATATAAGAAATAGAAAAATAATAACACAAAGCATATGGGGCTGCTATATAATGTTCGGAATTCTTGTGGACAACTAGAACATAAAAATTTATAGCGAAGGACAACTGAAAAAACTACAAAATCGATCAAAGGACAACTATTACAAATTTTGGACAACTGGATAACTAGGTACAACTATGTTGTCAGTTGTAGATGCACGTGTGAGATGGCGGCTGAGAATAATTTTTTTTTTATCCATTTAGACACGTATATAATTTAAAATTATAATTAAAATCAATTAAAAATTAATAAAATAGACATGTGTGCCGACAAAAAAGGACATGTGCGCAGGCAAAGTACCACGTGCGCCGTCAATTTTGTACATAGTTGTACCCAGTTGTCCAGTTGTCCAAAATTCTTCATAGTTGTCCTTTGGCGATTTTAGCAGTTTTTCCAGTTGTCCCTTGATATAAATTATCATTTTGTAGTTGTCCACATGATTTTAGACTATTGTAGTCCTTTTACAACATTTTCATATTATAATTGATGCAAAATTATATTTTTGGCTCTTTTCCATCATAAGATTGTTAACATTATCAATTCTTTGTATCATAAAGGGTGTTTGATGTGAAACCAATAATATGTATTAGAAAAATGATAATTTCATGTTATCCATCTTTTTAATTTTTTTCCTTATAGTTTACAACTTTTTTACATTTTTAGGTGAATGTTTGCTTTATATTCATACTTTTATCACTATTAATTTCTAATGAAAGAATTACATATAGTTGTACATATGTGTCCAGTTGTACCTTGTTTATTTCCATCCGGAAAGCATCCTCGGCTAAAAATAAAATCCTTTAGACTATATTGACTTTCCTAAGTGTCCAGTTATCCGTCAAAGTAACATGTGCACCTATGTGCGATATCAATTTTTGTACATAGTTATACCTAATTGTACTAGTTGTCCTTATCTGCAAATTTGGTAATGAATTGAGGTATAATTATAATTTACCTAAGAATCACTATGATTCAATAACTTTATTTAAGAAATTATCAATGCAAATACCTAATCGTCAGATAAACCTGGGTTACCAATCCGATTTGCAATTATAATAAAAGAATTTCCAATCAGCAATTATTTAAGTTGTCTTAGTTATACCTAATTGTATCAGTTGTCCTCTATCTCATAGTTGTACCAGTTGTACTAGTTGTCCTCTTATCTCTTAGTTGTACCATTCGTACCAGTTGTCCTTCTCTGCAGATTTGATGATGAATTCGGGTTTTAATTCTAATTTATCTAAGAATCACTACAATTCAACAACTATATTCAACAAATTATATATGCAAAGATCTAATCATCATATAAATTGGGTTACCAACCCGATTTGCAAATCTCTAAATAAAAACCCTTAATTATGAAATCTAATCCCTAAATTGTGAAATCCTCAAATCTCTAAATAAAAATCTAACTGAGTTTTGAAACTTCAACAATAATGGTAGAGAAAGGAGATAAAGACAAGAAATTGATTACAGAGGATGAAGAAGGAAAAGAGGAAGAAGAGACAAAAGCAAAAAAATGAGATTTAGAAGGTTTGGGGTTGAAGATGAAGACATGAATTGGAAAGAAAAGAAAACAAAAATCATATTTTTAATTAATTTTCGTTTTACTTTTAATATATTAATTACGAAATTATTTAAATATTATTTTTGGATAAAATCAGATATGCCATAAACCAATTCATTAAGGGTAAAATGAGATTTTCATGTGATTTATGACACCCAAACTATAATATGGCACATCAGATTTTTTGTTTACAAATTATGGCATCAGCCATTAATTCTTCTCTGTTGCTCAAAGATTGTTCTGCTTATTTTTCATTTGTGATGGTTTTCAGTTTTGGGCCTTTGCATTGCTATGTTGTTTACTATCGAACATACCATAATCAATACTCGGTTATTAATACTGTAAATCATTCGTTGCATTAAACAAATATCAAAACATCACGATTCTGCAAACTGTAAAGAATATGCATGTTATAGGAAAATATGTAACCTGCAATTCGAAATCGTTAGAAGTGGTGCTATTTTAGATTTTACGTAGCTTGGAGTCAAACTAATTTAACGAAATAGAATAAATGGGCCGGATCAGCTTTGAGTGATTGAAGTTATTGGACCACAATAATTAAACCAAGGCCCAATAGATTAACAAAATACAAAAAACAAGGTCCTACCGGGAGTCGAACCCAGGTCGCTGGATTCAAAGTCCAGAGTGCTAACCACTACACCATAGAACCAGATGCCTTCGTACTGCAAAAGTTTATATTTATAGATGTTGAGATAAACATCTGTGCTTCCTCTTCTTCTCTTTCCAGCTATGTGAAAATAAACTAGAGCCACTGTAAGCTAATTAATTTCTGTTCTTTTTTTTTAGAAGTTGAAAACAAAAACGTTTAGAGGACAGCAAAATTGGATTATTTCATTTGTCTGATATTTTTATATTTACTTTTTTTCTATTTTATTGCATTCATTACAATATTTCTAAGACTAATATGATTACAATGGCCGTCCAAAAAAAAAAACATCTTAAAGTGACCATATCATAAATTAGAACAGCTTATAACGAACTCGACATTACTAATTAATCTATATATATATATATATAGTTGGTTTAAAAGGCATTTAATTTTAAGCCTCAATAAATACTTCGATTTTAATTAGGCATTAGTTTTATAACTTCTTCTTTACATTAAGTATTTAACATTAAACCAAAAGAAACTTCTTCTTTACTTCCTTCTCTTCGACTGTTTTCC